TACCTATTGTACATATTGTTTTTTTTTTAAATTTCTTATTAATTATCGAAACCATCTTAAGAATTATTGTAAATTTTAATTGAAATATAAAATCAAATGAAGAGTCGACAAATTACTTTGATAAATTGACTTTGGGCGAATTTAAAAACTAAAAATTATGTTACGCTTTAATTTGTTATAGGGGAAAACAATTATAATTTATTAAACGTTTATATATACGTTTATATAAATTATAATTTATTTAATTATAATTAATTAGCCATGAACATTTTTCTCACAGCAATCCTCTCGCGGTACGTTCAGACACATATTTTATTAGATAAAATTCAATTTTTGTTCGGAAAGTAGAAAAGGTCGATCTTACTTGGTCGATATTAGACTACACGTATCTTTCTTATTGTATACGATATGGGCAAGATGTCATAATGACTGGCAAGTATATAACCAATCTCAGCACAAACCAATAACGATGAATTATCATTGTTATCTACTATTTGCATTATAGTTTTTTTATGGAGATAAAGGAATAATGTAATAAACATTATTACTCTTCTCTCAGATAAAAACACGCCTAACACCCATTCGGAATATTTTTAAAGTTAAAGGTTTAACCCGCTCTACAGTCTATACACTTTGACTGTGGTAGGACCACGCAGCAGCTTGTGCTGTTGCACTAATAGGCAGGCTCGTCCAGGACCATGACCTCAAAGAACACTGACGTGAAGTGGAAATATATGCGTTTCGTATGGTGAGAGAGGTAATCGGACCCACTTGTTAAATGGTTGGCAACATTTCTGTTAAGTCATGTACCCATGGGCAGCGGCAACTTCATAACATCAAACGGAATAGGAATAATTTTAGTAATACCCGAGACAAAAAAAGTTACTCATACAAAAGGGGAATAACCAAGCACAAGTAGGTATAGATAGATTTCATTAAGCAATCTTTAATGAATGTGACCTACAATTCTAAATGAACCTAGATTAGAAAACTGATAAGACGATGTATTTACGTTCAATGGAATTTCCTGGTTTAAGGGTATTCCCTAATGGTGACATAATCCAAGGCCATCCGTAACTTCTCTAAGAAAAATACTACTAATTCTTATTATCAAAAGTATATTATTTTCCATTTTCGTATTTAAATTCACAATTTTTCCAGTTTTGATCTTCCGCAGTGCAATGTTTAAAATGCTAAAAGTTTTTTGACTTTTTTTAATTTCCTTATTTCAACTAGAAATTATATGAACAAATCATATCAACGAGTTGTGATTACTTTCAGAAATACTGTACAATAAGTGTACTGTATAATACATGTTAAGTAGTAGGACCGGCGGGCAAAGATTGCTTAACGTAGACAGGTATAATCACTGTATCAATTTCGATTGTCAAGGTTTAGGAAATTTTAAAGATTAGGATAAATTACTTCGGTTCTCTCAGAGTCTAAAGCATTGAGGACTTAAGTCAAAACACATTTACTAAATAGCGCTATTCTTCATATTAACCTATGTCTTAAATGTCATCAACAAGTCACGCGTGAACGCGATAATACGAATGAAGAGACTTCTCTCTTTGTTTGTAATATTAACTTCTGTATGTTTTAGGTTGACGGTTTTGCTAATTAATAAATAATTATAGTTTTTTGTCAGATGGCATGTTTAAATTGTTAGGGACGAAATTTTTGGTGTCGTTAGTTATCATCTATTTACGTTACGTATCATCTATATGGCTATTATCTATTTACCTTGCCCCTCTTATATATATCGAACAGAACAAGAACGGATATGAACTTTCTTCTTACATTTCAGAACCAGGTATGGACGAATACAAAACCCAGCCTGTGGTCTGAGCGTGTGATGTTTTTTGATGACATAAAGAGGGAATGAAAAATATGGTTAATTCTAACTTTGCCTTGTGGATTTTGGATTTTAACAAGATAGATCTATAGATTGTCTTCTTATACGGGCAGATAGCGAGTACCACTTATATGTGCGACATATTGTCTTTTTAGCGGTTCATTACTAATAAATGACGTTACCCATGATAAAAAACAGATCTCAATTAAATTTCCTGTGATGGTAAATTATTTTAAAATAGCAGCAAAATTTTAAAATAGCAGCGTCCTAAGTAGCAAAAACTAGTTCTATAAACAACCCTGGAATATTTTGTAAAAAAAACTGTTTTAGTCCTATAAATCACCGTAGATAATTTTATTGGGAAGTGGTGCATTTATAACACTGTTCAGTGTTAAAAACGATTTAATAGCAGTGTCATACTTCACAAATAGGTCCTATACAATCTATGTATGTACATGTAGGACCTTTTATAGTATTTTTCCCACTACACAAGAGTTTGTTTCCTTTACTTCACATTATTTATTCACCATTCATTCTTTTATCATTCGTTTTTAGTAGTGTGATTTTGACGACTCTAATTTGTTACTATTCGTATAATATGGATGAAAATGATGTGCGACAAAAGTTTTAATAAATTTTAAAGTTTTCTACAGTGCTAATCTCTGCACTTAAGATTGAACATTAAAAGTAAAGTAAAAGTTTTACTGATAAACTAGGCATAGGCGCACCCTGAATTTTAAGTGCCCCCCTCGAATTATTGAGGTTTTACTAAAATGTTTATCAATTTAAGTGACTGAGTATCTCAGGGCCGTTTTAGTACTTGTCTTGACAATTTTTTCACTGTCATAGTGGATTCAACCTGGAATTATGGTTCCGTGTGAGAATAACTCAAATTTCAATTATTAGTCTCAGAAATCACTCTATAACATAAAAAAATATATGATCTTTGGAATATTTACGGAATCTTTGTATTTCGTTTATATCTTTTCTTATTTTTACGAAAGAAGGAAGCCTTACTTAAAGAGAGATAGAAACACTGCTATAATGCTAAAATGTGTATAATAGGAACCGAACTGAAAACGTCATAATGCAACAACTCTCATGTCACTAACCAGTGAAACTATAATTAATTAAATAATTATTTCTCCAAAAATATTTATAGCACAGTTAAAGTAAATAAGCGTAATCTCTATCTAAACTAGGCTACATCACAAAATCACTCTATTGTAGAGGTTTTGTGACTTCTAATCAACTCAGTACCATAGTAATGTCCTAAGTGTCCACAATACCATTATGTTGTTCTATGGTTGAGAGGTCATTACTGCTAAACAAAATAACTATAGTAGCATGTAACCTTTTATCTAAAAAACAGAATAAAAAATATTTAAATGGAGCTTCCATACAACAGACATGATTTTTTTGCCGTTTTTATAAATAATGGTACGAAACCCTTCGTGCGCGAGTCCGAATCGCATTTGGGCGATTTTTTTTTATAAACTTTCATTCATCATCAATTTACAGACCATAATATATAGTCTACTATAGTTTCATCCAATTCAACTGTAGCTCAATTATATAGCATTTTATTGCACAAATCTTCTTAGCGCGCACAAACGGACAGACAAACAATTTAACAATCATTGTTTTGGGTTCTACTACGTTGATACACACGTCAGTTACTTTTTTATTATATGTGTAGATAAAATAGTATAGAAAACGTTTACATCGTTTTTTGCTTTATAAGGATATAGAACAAAAATCTTTTATAGAATGCTTTTGTAGATCACGCTGTCACCGTTTAAACCTTAATAAAACACTTTTGTAATATGACTGTTTTGCTGGTTGTAACAGTAACAATAAAGATTTATTATTAATAAAACTTATTAAATAGTAATTTTATGTATTGTTTCAGTAACTCTCGTATTATAATACTATATGTTATAATTATAATATATAATATAATATTATAATACGTGTAATTTATGAATATCGTTAATTCACATGAAGACTCGGTGACGCCATTGCTAAGCTATTGGCTTCGCAGTCGGGGACCATGGGTTCGATTCCCACACGGGCAAGTATTTGTGTGACACACAGATAGTTTTTAAGGATCTGTGTCTTTGTTACCAAAGGAGGGTTTATTTCAAGCAGACGGCCGGTCATAATAAAACATAGGCGTATAATATTAAGTAAGAACATGGTTCTGTTTATCCAGTGTACATTTGATCTAAATGACAATGATATTACGGTTTAATATTTATTTATTTATTTAGGCTTTCTGTAGTTACTATACTGTTTACCTCAAATTGAGTCCAAAGTGCTATCCTGTCATCAGATTTCACACAATAGTGTGAATCAGATCTAAATAATGTTAGATCGTGTATGCGCCTACCTGAACAAAGTCATAACAAAATTGCGGTATTTCACGATGTTTGGAACGGACTATTTATAACAATAGAATAATTAGTAATACATTGAATTAGTTTACTTGCATTCCAAATTGGAGGACTTGAAGATTTTGGGGTTTTTAAATTAATTAATTAAAATTAGTGTAATCGCAAAATTGCGTCATGAAATAGTACCTTCAGGGCTCGCGACACATAATTATGAACTACATGGAGTGTTGCCGAGGCAAACTGATCGATCCTAAGGGTTTCCCACTTCACGAAGATTGTCTTCACACAGCCTGATGGAGGTGCCATTCTGAGTATATAATGTATATTGTAATCTAATTGATGTTCGTCTAGGTGGATCGAATTTCATAGCAATAACGATTTAATGCCTCCTTCTTTATACAGATAAGCGCAAGAAGTATTGTTTTCGTAATGTATTAAAATCAAGCTGTGCCACATTACATGAGCTTGACTCTGAAAGCCGTATAATATAGCCAACCTTTACTTCTGGTTCTAGTTCACAGCTTGTTCGACTTGGGAACAAGTTCCCGCCATTGCTATTGTGTTCAATTATGCCCACGGGCCCCAAAGCCAGGACCGATGCGTCGGCCGAGAACATGACCGGGGGTAGATAATACTGAACAGTTGGGAAATGAAAATCTTAGAACCACCAATGCAGTTCGACGAATATCTTGTAAAGTGTAAGCTGAAGTTTTGTATGGGAGTGAATTTAGAAATATTAATAGCTGCCGATGAGTGAGTCGGCGACCTTATGAAACTACAAACTAGCGAAGTTTAGGGGTCCCACTAGACTTTATAAAAATTTTAGGGTTACTACTTTTTGTATAATATACAACCACGACTAGTTGAAAGTCGTGGTTGTATATTAAACTTAAGAATGTGTGTGACTTAACCACTTTTAAGTGGAAATATGCTCGGGAAAAGTCTATTTTGTACAACAAGTTTCGAGGTTGGAGAAAATCTAATATGCGAACATTTATGTTTACCAGGTGTAATAAACCGGCTAGCACAAAAATGTTTAGATATTGGAGGTTTAATATGGGACAGGCTCATCCATCGGACTTTGGTACTAGAAATAGAGAAGAAATAAAACTTGTGTATGAGCGAGTTACTTATAAAATGCCCTCTGTCTTCATTTAGTGAAAGAGGCCTTTGTTTAACTTTGGAAGCACAATAGGGGGTTTTGGAAAGAAAGGGAGTCGATACCCATGAATCGACATGGGTATTATTTCTAGTGCTGGGTATGACTTCTTGCCATTGGTTGACGTAATTTGCTACCCCACCTGCTTGGAAATTTGTTGAGTCATTGTCCAAATCTTGTCCACAGGCGGTGTAATTCGCTAGCCGACCTGCGTGCAAACTTGTCAAGTCATTGTTTGTACTTGTTTTGGCTCTTGTAATCTTTTGACAACAACTTATAAACAAAAAAAAAATAAAATTAAGTAGACCGAATTGTGAATCTAAACCATTCTCGTATCTACCTCAAGACACACAAAAAAATTCATTAAAATCGGTCCAGCCGCTTAGGAGGATTACAGTGACACACGTGTACACACGTACATAATAATTATATACATTTATTTATAAAGATTGAAAGGCATGTAGTGTCTGTATTAGATGTTCTTTGTTTTCCGCCCTTCCACGTCTAGAGCGCGAGCAATATATAGCCCGAAAGTCACGAGGTCGCTTTATTCGTTTACGTTCACTGCGGACGAAAAACGTCATACAGACCCTGAATAACATTAGGATAAAGGTAAATAATAAGCAAATAGTGTTTGTTAAAATCAAAAAAGTGCCTTATTACATTAATATTTATAAATTGTTGGTAAGAAAAAACTTTACTCATTAAAAAGTAATTTTTGACAATTGCTTAGTGATTAGTGATACCAATTCAAGATTATTTATCCAGTTCAGGCTCTAACGTCTAATTATTTCCGGTTTATGTTCAATGCTGTTGTCGCTTTGACTATTTCCTGAACTACGCTTGAAGTAGACTGTCCCAACTAAGCTTGAACTATATAGTTTATATATTTATTCTTATAAAAACAACATAGTTTTTATAAGAATAGAGTGAAATGTTAATCATTGATGCTACATTCCCGCTTAATGCTTAAAATTTTTAACACCGAAAATTAGTCGCATTATTCGTGAATTTTATTAAGGTTTAATGCATTCTTTCAATTTTTGCAATCGTACGTCGAATGTCTTTGCTGGCCTTATTACGTTACATCATTTTACTTATATCGCAGTAAGTCGGAGACGTAAAGTTTGGCTGATTTAAACACTGAAACACAAAACGCACCATGACCCACTTTCCTTTTTGTAAATAATGTTGTTGTTGTTATGATGTAAATAATAAACTTCATTGCACTCCCATCCCATAGAGTGCGCCAATGACTAGGTTTATAAATCTTATAAACCTAGTATGTTATTTAGTTAGATTTAATATATTGTGTTGTGTTTATAATATTGGATATAATATTTTTGCAGATCGCTATGTGGTGCATTAATATTGTTGTGGTCCTGTCCGTGGTAGCCTGTGTCCATGGCTACTCCTCGGGCGCTCCGGAGAGCTCTTGTAAAGACATGATTCCGAGACATCCTGTGCCCCCACAGAAAACCGCTGCCCCATATACTATAACCACCAGCTCTAAAGTGAGATTTCTTTGTAATTCAATGTATTATGTTATGTCGGGTGTCAAAGAGGGTTGACGTTAGGCAGGCGGCCGGTTTGCAATCATGTACTCGCGTTAACAATACTTCCGTGTTTAGGTCGTGAGGGTTGGCACTCCAATTGAAGTTACAATATCTGGTGCGAGTCCATCGGACACTATGCGAGGTCTGCTCCTTCAGGCTCGAAAGGGTGAGGACATCGTCGGCACGTTCACCCTTGATCCTAATGATCAATTCGCCCAACTACTCAATTGCGGATCGCCCGGCGTAAGTACAACTCGTGCTATGTGCATTTAAACAAAAAAAAATATTTCATTCACACAAGTAATAAACCTTCATATTTTACTACTGTGAGTCAAATTTAGGAATATAAGAATTATGTGAAGGCATTACGTACGATGGGCACAGCGGTTTACCTTGTAGTTGACTTAACAGGTTGAATCTAATGATGCTTGGAATTTGTTTTAGTTCGTTGACCGTGACACTATTTTACGTTTTTTTTAATGTAATAGAAACATATTTAATTTATTTATCTAAAGTGTAAGTGTAGTAATTTATTTATCCAATAGTTATTCAAAAACGAACCGTTTATCAAATGTCGTCGTTCGATTAGGCATTTGAGATTTTTTTATTAATTTCAGTATGTCTTTATACGTTATAAAATTTGAACATGTTAAACGTTTATATTTGTTATATAAGTACACGTAATTTTAGTATATAATATGATATAAGGATAAACTGTATGCTAGACTAATTTTAAAGGTAAACTTAAAATTCAATCGATTTACTGACCATAATCAGAGAAAGTTCAACGTTTTCGTTACCGGTTTTTATGAATTCTAGCCGTAGAATATTTTATTTTTATAGAATCCTTTAAAAATTGCTACAAAGGAGCCTACTGTTGTAAATGTAACCTACACAGTCACTTCCCATGTAGCAGGTTTAGATTAAAAAAATAGTGCAACATTACTCATTTATGTGTATAGAAACGTTGGTAACCAAGGGTTACCAACATTTGGTTTGTTTTCCTAAAAATTTAAACATTTCTATTTATATGCACGGGATTTCATAAATTAGTACATGTTTTGTAAATTTTTCGTTCTCAAAATTTTAAAACAGAACACATAAAGATCTTATCCTGTTTTAATACATTTTAACAATTCATGTCTTTTGTACACATAAATAACCGCTGCATAACATAAGGCTTACCTACCTTTTAAACTTCTTAATACCTACATGAATTAAATATAATCTTAACAGAGGCTCGTAAAAATGTATCTATTTCAAGGTTTTCATTGTTTTAAGCTTTTAAGTCATTGTAGGTATGTACTTGTCTTTGTACGGAACAAGAAATGCCAAAGTCTACGTATCCATCTTTGACATTTAAAGTTCGTTGCTTCAAACGTGTATATATCTCTTATATTCAATAAATAGCTAGATGACCGGGTTTATTTCTCACAAAAGAAGGTACTTGAAAAAAAATTAATAAAAACAAAAAATAAAATCTGGAGCTCTGGACTCTAGCCGTTTCAAGCTTATTTATTTTTAATAATACAATTAAAAAAATATATTATTATTTACATAATACATCAATTTTATATAAAGTTTATTTTTTATTCATGTATTGTATATATATATATATATATATATATGTCTAATAAATAATTAATTTTTAAATTGAGATTGTACACTTCCTGATAAATATAACAAAGTTTAACTTAAACAAGTATAAAATTTACGTTCGGCTTTTGGTGTAATAACAATTTGGCTGTAATAACAATAGTTAAATGTTGGCAATAAGATGAAGGGAATATAGAATAATAGACACATAGGAATATTTGATAGTGAATCAAAAGTTTTTGAACTTGTATCTAAAAGTAAAAATAAACATACAGAAAGGATGTAGTCGTTTTAAATGAATTTGATAAATGGGCAATATTTAAACAGTAAATAGTGATGAAAATTAAAGCAAAATTTTATTTAACAATATTACAAAAAATACAGAAGGTTAATTCGGCCGTTAACTTCTTTTAGGCATCAACAGGAAAACATTTTAACGATGTACGTGAACATCATCATAATCAATACCATTAAAAATCAATGGGTATAAAGTTTTGTAATAAATATCGCGATTATATGAGTCAACAAGGATTCGGGATTAATCAAATATATTACGTATGCAAGTTCGTCCACAAATGTTGAACTTAACTTTTGTCGTTACTAAAAAACCGAAGATTGTAGTAAAACATGTTTTTCACATTCTTGATTGTTACAAACTCGTATAAGTTTTCGCAATACTATACCATAAATTCTACATTAATCATTGACGCGTGTTCGATGAACCTCTTACACTATACACCGACAGCCTTGAGCCTAGAGTGTTGCAACAAGCAGCACATTGCAAATCAGACACGTGCTAAATTAAAGTTAAAAGACGCTCTTCTTTTGTAAATTTATACAAAAACAAATTTTAAACATTTTTTTTTAACTTTTCTGATACTAATATAATTGATCGTGATCGTTAAAGAAACTTGTCGAATCTTTATCAAGCTTTTTTAAAGTTAAAAAAAAAGCCACGGTTAAAAAAACAAAACGTTCGAGCAAGTTAGATTTTTATGCACACCACAATTACTTGAACGTGGATCGGACCTGAAAATTTAATTCCTGTTTATTTAATTTCTATTTCAGTTTATAATAAAAATAATATAAAATAAAAATAATATTAATAATTTAAGTATTTTCTGACTTTTCCTTACTTAGATTCCTTACATTGCAAAAACTATGGAAAGAGACTTTTTATGTGTGGAAAGTCTTGAAACTAATTATTTTATAACGAAATGAATTCTAGATGCAAATTGTTAAAATTAATAAAATAAATGAATAAATACTTTTTTAGAATTCCATAACACACAAGAAGCATGACGCCAAGTTCGATAAGCAAACAGCAACGTTTACCTGGACACCTTCGGAAGATTTGAGTGGAGAAATTAAATTCAGGTAAAGTAAAAAAAAAGAACAGAGATGACCGACATAGCTGAGAAGATTAGTAAGCTAAAGTGGCGATAGACCGGCCATATAGCTCGTAGAATCGATAACCAAAAAAAGAAAGGTTCTTGAGTGGCAGCCTCGTACTGGCCATCACAGTATAAGGCGACCCCCTACTAGAATGATTGACGATCTGTTCAAATGTGCGGGAAGTCGATGGATGCAGGTGGCCCAGAATCTTGCTATCAGGCAGTCTATGGGGGAGGATGTTCAGCAATGGTCTTTAACGGGCTGAAATAATGATGATGAAAGTAGAAATCTGATTGAAATATTTTGTTTTAATCATATTTGGTTTCGATCCAGTTAATGGAATAGAAAATAATGAACTCTTTAATACTTGGCTAGCAACTTTATGAAACAAAGTAAAAAAAATCACAGGGTGCACCTAGTGCTAGAAATAAAGTAACGACATATTTACATTTAACTTTCTAAACAATTTCTATAATAACCTTTTGTTTACCTTTCAGAGCTACTATCGCATACAACGGTGCTGTCTTTTGGGTTGGCGTGGAGTCCGCGCCCATCACCGTCACTCATTAAATTGCCAATAGAGAAGTCTAATAGTATTAAGTTGTAGTGATTATTTTTATTCTGTAAAATTATTTTATTTAATAAATGCCCAAAATTATTTAATCATGTGTATGTTTATCATGGTTTACTTCATTTATATATTCGCAATGTTTTTCTGGGATAAAAGGTTTCTTCCTTCATTCCGAATTTTATCTAGATTTGTTTGTTTACCGGCTGTCTTGCAGAGGCAATAAGTACAGGTAGCACAAATTTAATATAATATTAGCGCCAGTTATTGTTTTATGCCATAGTCAACTTAAATACTTATTTCTGAAAAAAATCCGTTTTTATTATGGAAATTAAACTTTAACAGACTATTCCCAATCCCGTATTAATGAAAGGAATATACAATATGGGAAGAAGACAGACCTAATCAATCTTCCTGATCCCTGGTATTCTTTACATAAGGCGTAGTGTCGTGGAATGCCCTAATTTGACATTGGGATGCCATTTCTGTTTACTGTTATAATTATCAAACAGTCATCAATTACAGTTATGTGCCCCAGCAATTAGTCGTGATCTGGAATGTTGGAAACAGTCGCGTAGCTATTGTATGGCCAGGTGGTGCAGTGCACTTGGCCCCGAAGCTCCCCCTAAGCTTTGAACAGATTGGAGCAACTATGTCCGGTGTCCCAGTGTACCTCGATGATGCTCACAACAATTTTTTTATGATGTTAAATGAACATTAACAATAACAGAACTCTTAATTTGATACTTTCAACACATACGGAAAGCGTCTTTAATAAACATGTGCTATTTTTACCGTCATTTAATTGAGTATGTTTGTATCAGCGGTAAGCTCATGTGATCTCATTCATGTATGATATTCATTAAAATGTATAAATCTCTTTGGGTTACATTAGAATATAACACATAGGCTACAACTTATAAAGATTTTATGCGATTTGGCCATAATATTGCGATAAGTAAGTAGTAAATCGGAAAAACTCTTTACTTTTTACTCCAACGGTTTACCGTAAAGTTAGTTAGTAACAGCCTAAATATATATAAAGTAACAAAAATCGGTATTTCTACCCTCTGCGGCTGAAATGTGGTAAGTGGCGGAGCCACTGCAAAACTGCAGGCATTTATCAGACAGAGTTAAGAAACATTGTTCCTCGAGAACACACACGGAGGTGTGTGCTGTAAATGAGGCGTGGCAAAAAGGTTCGACCATTGACAAGAAACTTGAAGATGAAATTCGCAAAGAAGCATCATTTTGGATACAACTTCTTCGGAGATTATTCAACATCAAAATTACTCTTGCGACTATTATCTACACTGTTATTTCGCGTTTTAAGCAATGTGAAACAAAACAATGCACCAAGCCACCAAGTGCATCCTTTACAGCATACAAACAATTTCAAATATCGTTTTACAATGATATTTGAACGTGAGATAAAAATTTTAATATTTATATTGCTAATCTATGCAGTTAAGTTGAAACAATAAAATTTGTAACAAATAGAAAGAAAAGATTCTCGCCGCTGCGGGAATCGAACTCATGTCTTCCGGATTTTCTCTACAAACCCGTTTTTTACGGGACTCCATACCATACACATACCCCTGCCACTTTCCCGTTCCAGTGGCAGGGGATCCATAAATAATTTCTCCCAAGAAAAAAAAAGTATAACAAACATTTCATATCGTCATGTGCATCGTTGTTATTTATCCCATTTACGCAAATTAAAGTCGTAGGGATTCTACCCCTCATAAATTAAAGGACTTATTTTAGACTTATTCTACTAGGAATAGGTTCAAGTATTCTTTCTATAAGTTTGAAGGCCAATTTGTCAATATAAGTTCAAGCTAGCTACGTAGAAAGAGGAATTAGGGGGCCGCTTTTTTCTGGCCATTGACACCTAGATACGCCACTGGTTGCTAAATCAAGCCATGGGAGGAATGGGGCACGACACCCTTACAGTTAAGGGTGGCCTAAATAAATGTGCCCCGGTAGCTGTTCACAGTGACAGTTAATGCAAGCATCGTAACGTTTGACCGACTAAGGTCTCAACGGAGACCCCACGACGCCACTCAGTGGCAAAACGTTACGTGGCTTCTTTCAAACTTTTTTGTCCCTAAATCAACTTCAGTAGCTGAATTCCACTCTGGCTTAAATATGAACTATATTAAAGGGATATTGTCCACCGCTGTTTGTATTTCCCATATTTCATTAATTTACTCACTACACTATTTCATTAATGGGTTCTTCAGAATTATAGGGAATTAATTAAGAAAATCATGATTTTGACTTTGTCAGGTAACGAATTATAAAGACTTCCTTTTTCGACTCCTATTTTTAAAAACGTATACTTCGGTCTCTTTCACTCCTCTCCAATTACCGCTTTTGTTCAAAAGTGCACAAATCTTTATTTTAAATTTCCCAAAAATTGATATTTTTAAATGGTCACTATCGCTTGCCAATGGTGCATTTAAGCATTTCCATGAAATATTTTAGGACAGAAAAAAATTAAACAACCAGCTCTATTTATTTTTTATTTCAATTGTAGCACCTAGTAAATTTGTCTTTGAGATCCACTCATAAAAAGTACCTCAAAAAAGAATGGATAGTTTAGGAACTGACTACACCTTAAAGAATCTTGACATGGGGAAAGTTTTATTAATTTTGAGCCTTAAATAATTCAACCCAGAAAATCATTTGATAACTCAATAAAATCATATCTATATAATATATCTATCTAATGAACAAGTTTAAATTTAACAAGTAAACATTAATAAAATCATGATATAAGACATCACAATATACACATTAAACCTTTTGCCACTTTTCGAAACTATCCATTTAACGACGGAATATGTTATCTCTAGTCTAACGCAAGAAACTAGCGACTTATATAAAAATCTACATAATTCGGCAAGTATAAATTAAATGATGAAATAACTAAAACATTACAACATATACTTATCAACTTTCTTGTGTGACATACCTTATGTTACTATTATTATAAATGTCTAAATATTAATGTAGTTCAATTTATCAAAATCTAAGTTAGTTTTCGTAACATGTGACTACGGAATTTTGCATTGTGATATTTTCTTTACACATTCAATGAGCATTGTTTTTATTTATATATATTATACAAAACCTTAATTTATACAATACCCTATAAGTGATTAAACACAATTCCATCAATATAGTTATTAAAACAGTTTATTGGCAGTGAGTAAATTGTGATTTGAATATGAAAATGCACATAAATATGCAACAATACCTGAAATTTTTAAATATTTTGTAAACTGCAAGTTCATATTTACCACTAAAGTAAAATTGAAGTAACACATTCACACATTATTATTTGTTATTTGTGATATATATTTATACAAATTGAATATCAATTATGTTATAGCTACATAAGAAAGTGTCAATATTGTAGAGAATATATATAACTTGTTACTAATCTGGTAAGAACATACACCAATACTATTTTTATAAGGACATTGGCTTTAATACTAGTTGGCAGTATGAAATCTATCCTAATTATTTGCAACAATTACATTCTAAAACAATAATGATGTGATAACTAGGATATGTTCTTTACTGAATTAACAAAAATGATTAAACTTAGTAGTTAACAAGCAATCATTTCATTTGTTAATTTCATGACTGTTTATTTTTTGCCACCATAATTTAGTTTTTTTATTTAATATTGGGATATTATAATTTTATCCTCAATAAATGTTTTCCTAAACTTCATTAAAGTTTTGGAAAACATTGGAATTTGGAAAACATTTAGGTTGAGTAAATTTAATTTGATAGCAATTCTTTTGTTACTGACAGAGTTATGCAAATTTAACATTCAAAATTCTGAAACATGCACTAACAGTACTATAATACATGTTTCTTAATGGAAGTATTTATATTTATTGTGAGGGAAAGTTACTTAATCCGAAACCATATAACTCCTTTTATAAAACTTAACAGAATTTGCAATTACAAAACTTGTTATAAATACTTATAACTTCAACATTTCAGTTTCATCATTTATGTGGTTAATACTGATTGTGAAAAATATATCAAATAGACATACATCTTTTTTGGCAAGCAAGTAAAAAATGACAAGAATATCAAGTAATGCAACATAATTATAACACAGCAAAATAATCTTAGTAATTATTTGGTCTAAACTAAATGCATTTTAATTCGATACAATATCTAAACATTAACATCACAGATAACTCTGAATAAGTAAATAAATATTAAGAATAAATTATAAGTTCTTGAGATATCATTGGCTTTGTATGAAGTAGTTTTGTCGTTTTAACTGCCTGTATAATGATATATACTTTCCTGCAGCTGAAGTTCTAGGAACAACATATTGTTTACAGAATAACTTTGGGTCATGTGCTTTTTCAGAAAGTTCTCCACATTCAAGTGCTCTTAGAAATGCAAGAACAAATGTAAAACAGTTATGCCTTTCTTCATTGTATCTGTCTGCTTCCCATAGTGGGCTTAAGCTAACCTGTAAAAAGCAAGTTGTTTGTTGTCTTAAAATAAATGTATTGTGGGCCAAGTAAATCATAAGTAACATACTCTCTGAGTACTTGTATATAGATTTTGCACAAACTTAACATTTGAATAAACACAGAAAAAATATATACCTTCAAAAGTACACTGTCCCATATTTCATTCCACAACTCGTCAAACTCCTCTAGCATCAAGCATTGATCCCAATCTGAACTCTTGTCAAAATCACTCCATTTCTTTGTTAAAGGATTAACACCTCGAACACCTTCCTCACTAAACTCAATTACACATCCATGTGAATTTGTTACCCCTATGTGCAAATCCTTGGAATTGTAGTAGTCACTGTAAGGCAATAAAGTTTAACTTAAAACTTTAACAGTCAGTATGAGTCAAACTCAGAAATCATTTTAAGCTCTACTTGTTTAAAACTAAGCAATAAATACTTACTTTAGAAAATCGCCATGAGTAGGTTTCATTACTATAGCTCTTGGATGTTGAGAGGCTTTAACAAAGGGATATGGAACTCTGTAACAGAATTAGGACGCTTAGTAACAGATTTCATGTCAGCACTGCCGTCTATGTGTGATGTAAATTGCTATTACCTGAATGGTAAAAGCTTGTAGTCATATCTATCTAGTTTTTGTTGACAAACAGGGCATTGTTCCGGAATAATAGTACAAAAAACTTTATGTTCACAATGGTGGAAACAAAGGATACCCGGATCCATTTTTACTCACAAAATTTAGGCAAAATTTCAATGAAACCTTCATAAAACGAACTTTGAAATTAATCGCGTGTTCTTCAACTAAACATTGGCAAGACAAAGTGAAAAGAAATCCAAATACAGTAATGAATAAGTAAAATCCTAATTAAACTAGCACTTGCTAACACTAGACTACTATTGTTCTACAACCACTTTCCCGATTTCGAAGGACTTGTGCAAGCCGTTCATAACCGTAGTTACTAAAAGCGTATTGTCATGCAATTGAAAATTTGAGAATTATATTTTTCAAATAATTTGTAGAAACAAATTTTTTACAAAAGAATATTATTACATATTCTACTTAGTATTATTATGTCTAAAAATATAAAAAATAAAACAATATAATAAGATCATGTACAGATAATTAAGAACATTTTTGGCAAATAAATTGACTTTCAGAACGTCACCCGTTCATCTGTCTTTAAGAACATGACAAGTGCCAACATATGATTAAGTTTGAAAGATTTTTATTGGCCGTCTAAAAGTAACTTCAAGATAATTGTACTATTACTAACCAATAGTAGAGAGATTTAAAAAAGCGGAGACTTTAAAGTTTAAATTTAAGCTTCGATGCATTTAGAGCAAGAGAAAAAAATATCAACATTATCTACTTTGTTTATTTATAAAGCATTGCAAAGTTATGAAATAATATTACTAAATATTATCAAATTTTGTATAATTTTGTAATAACAAAGGGTTAAATAATCATGAGTAAGGGTCTGTAACAATAGATCTGCACAGTCCTCAATTTTAATAATTTATTATAGCTGAAAGCATTCCAAAAAATATATGAATTATAAGTATGTAGATGTTATGTGATACGTAGTGGACAAATTGGGAAACTAAATAAAAATAAGTCCGGTTAACATAAGTGACTACAGAAATTTTTAGGACAGAGTTCAATGAATGATATAATTTGGTCAATAATAAGTGTCAGTCTGTCAGTCTGTATTGTATGTTTACGGGTTGCCATGGCTACGACTGAATTGATAAAAATCAAGTTAACCACACCTCGGCCATGATACCCATTACCCAGTCCCAGTTTATACTTAAACCGTGCTCCGAGTAATATACGCGTAGGTCTAAAATATAAGTTTCTATGTAAAACTTAAACGGCATTGCAGCATGTGTTATATTTAGTTTAAAGCCTTAGTGAAGTAATTAACGAGTTAACGATGAAATTTACTGAATATACTAATTAATAAAAGAAAATATTTTATTAAAAACAAATAATTTTATTCACAGGTGCTTAGTAACGAGACGATAAAATGGGCATTAATGTTCCCTTTTTTTAGTGGTTTTAAAAAATTTTTATAATGCTTGTAAAAAGTGAAACCGAATTTCGATCTATGTTTTGGATACTTGTCGTAATACCAGTTGTGTCGGCAGGAATATCTTGCCTAAGCAACCCTTGTTTTCATGGAATTTGCATTGATGACCTTAATAGGTAAGTATATTTTTATTAATCCTTAATAATAAACCGTACGTGTTACTGACTAAGTAAGATTAAATTCTAGAACAAGTTGTAAGTAATGGATCATTCATTGCCTGCCATATAGCACAGTCTAGCGTAAAAATAATATTTTTTATTTTGTATATCACAGTAAGTTATAATTGATTATCGCTCCCATTGGTTTTGACCTTTTTGTACAGTTTCTTCTCTGAACAGCTAGATGTTTCTAGATGTTTTATAAAGAAAAGTTTTAAGTTAAAGTTCAAAGAATATTTGTATAGATATATAGCAATTTAAAAGAACGCCAAGTAAGACTCCTCGAGCAGGCAATAGTGAAGAGGTTCTGAAAAGAAGATAAAATTTTATTTCTAAAATATCTTATAGATTTAGAAATCCGCTAATTTCTATGGACTTCCTTTCTTAGCTATAGGTTCGGGGTTAATGTAGAGGAGTAAGACCAAGAAGTATCGTTCGATGGGGAAAAAGCACATCCATTGCTTTTTATCTTGGTTTCTTGAGTGATAAGTTACATACAAAAAAAAATGTAGTTAATGTTAATTTATTTCTTATATTTCGATAGTTACATTCAATAATAAAATATCTTCAACAACATATAACCCCTTAAAGATATAAAATCAATATCGAGCTCTACAGGCTAATATTGGGGTCACAAAAATAACGTAATAGCTAAACAGAGTCTGCGATGAACGCGATTGGCAACAAAGGCAAAATAAACCCTAAGTTAATGTTAGTATAGCGGTAATACTCGATGAAATTTATTGATTCAAAACAATGTTATTCTATATTCGTTTAATACATATTAAAGAATAGCAAGTGACAATACGGTTTTTTAGTGTTAATTACAAAATGGTGGTGTAAATGAGGGTATACTTAATACCTAAGGATTATAAAACGAGCAGTCAATCTAACACAGTGTTCGATATACGAAACTGGAGACTTAATGAAATTAGATACGTGTTTTAATACGGAATTATCCCATAATCCAATACATTGCTAAGTTTGTTTAGTTTATTATAAATTTTGTATGTTACCTACCTATTTAATTTGACTATTAACTGCTGTGACGTATAAATGACTACTAACATAAAAATAATTAAATCAGTACAGAGTTTCGCAAAATAACACAAAACAAAATGAATTTTAAAATGAATTAACGGACGCACTCCGAGATTTCGATTACAATTTATATTAAAAAGCATTTACTTATTTTATAATGTTAAAGTATAAATAAATGTACTAAGAATTTAAGTCTTATTCTGCGTTAGAAAAGCGGTAGCCTTGTATTACTATTTTATTGTTTAATATGACAATTTTAATTATTTCATTAAGTCAAGATAACTAGAAGTCAATGAATGAAAACTTAACATTGGTTGTGCCGCGCCTAAAATTTATTTCTGAAAGAAAGTGAAATTAAAAAAATCAGCTTATGTATGTAACACGTCATTTTTAAATTCTATGAAAAATCTTCACAGAGCGTACTGTCCCGCTTTGTAAAACACACATGTTTAAAACACGGTGGTAGGGCCACGCAGCAACCTCGGCTGTTGCACGAATGGGCTGGCTCGTCCGGGTAAGTACCACGACCTCACAGAAGATCGGCGTAAAGTGGAAGCATAATACTTTCGCGTTTCGCCTGGTGAGTGAGGTGGCCGGAGCCCAATTTTGAAAAGGTTGTCAACGCATCTGCAACCCTCGGGTGTAGCAGATGTCGATGGGCGGCGGTATTCACTTCAACATCAGGTGAACCGTCTGCTCGCTTAGCAACTTTTCACATAAACAAAAAAAAAAAAACATTCTCTGTTTTAATATACATATAACTGTTAATTGTATTTTCAGCACGTATATGTGCTACTGCATTGACGGTTACACTGGCGTACAATGTCAGACGAACTGGGACGAGTGCTGGTCGGATCCATGTCAGAACGGGGGCACTTGTATAGATGGTATCGCTTCTTACAACTGCTCTTGCCCCGAGGGATTTATTGGTGAGTAGCTTAGCCGAGCGAAGATATCAAGTTTTCCCCGAAAATAGTCGATGGACAATTTTCGGTTGAAAGCTATGAGCCGTGTTAGCTCTGTGCTCGGGAGCTCGCTTAATTCAATGTACTGTTACGAACACACAAAGAAACTAGCGTCAACCAGTAAAACCACTCAACGAACAAAGACAATAAAACCACCCTACTCAATACTAGACGGCGGCTAGGAACTACTGTAGAACTTTAATCTCGAAAACCGGGTACATTCGCGAACTTTCCAGAATCACGATCACGTTCGCGCGTGTCGGGTACGTTCCAGGAAGGAACTTTCTGGAATAGTCTGGGACTCGTCTCGGCCCATATAAAAAGCCGCAGGGAGGCGAGCCAGTTCAGTTCAGTTTGAGCTACCTTCGAGGCGACTTCGTAGTGAAAACTAGTGATCAAGAGTGATACCAGCGAAACCTACGACATGGCTACAAACTAGGACATTGTTAGTGCTTAGTGTTTGGACCTAGTGCTTTGTGTTGGACCTAGCGCTATTGAATAAAGTCTTCAAAAGAGTCAGCAGGTCTTTCTCTCCAAATCCTTCGAACCCCCTAACACGTAACAGTACTCTAGGAACCCGACTTGAAATCCATGTGTCGGCATGAATGAAATTGTTAATTGCATTTTTAAGTGCCGTAAACGTGTATATTTTTGAGATAATAATTAAAAATAAATATTTCGAATATATGTGAATTCTGCTAAGCCCGTTCGTTATTCATTATACCCTAATACCCTCTGTACAAAGGAAGCCTTTGCCCAGCTGGTGGGCACGTATAGGGCAGTTACTTTACTACTTTTAGGCGAAAATTGCGAGACGAACTTCAACGAATGCGAGTCTAACCCTTGCCTTAACAATGGCACTTGTATCGACATGACGAATGAGTACGTGTGTCACTGTTTGCCCGGCTTCTCTGGGCCCCACTGCGAGGTGGACGTGGCCGTGTGCAACGTCACGGACGAAGTGCGCTGCCACAACGGCGGCCAGTGCATCGAAGGGCCCGGATTCAAGTTCTACTGCAGATGTCTACCAGGTTAGTGGCAATAGCGACTTTGCTGTGAAAAGAACACTAATGGGGATTTTGCGGCAGCACCATTTAAGAAAAGAGTTTGGAGTAAACATTCCGAGAGAAGTTTTCAATTCAGTCTCTTTATCGAGAGCCGAGCACGTGTAAATGATAGAAATACCAAGCAGATCAATCTTACTAAAAAAATAAGTTATTACTTTTATTAGCACTTTCACAGTCCTTTTCTCTTGAGATATTCTCTATTTAACATATACTCTTACGATATACTCTCTTGAGATATTTTCTTTTTGAACATTTACTACATATTACAATTATGATTAAAAATTACAATTGTTACGTTCAAAAATAATTAGATTTTAATCAATAAGACAAAAATAGGAAAGGAATTGGACAAGAGAAACACTGAGTGCTAAATAATGAGTTCTCTTGTAAAATATAACATGCATACATCCTTTCAGGTTGGGCAGGTAAATTTTGTGAAAATCAAATAGACGAATGCGAGTCTAACCCATGTAAAAATGGTGGAATGTGTATTGATATTCACGCCGATTATATGTGTGCTTGTGTTTACGGTAAGTCAATCAATTAACGAATGCCAATATATTTGATTCACTTGTATTTTTATATGTGAAAATTGTCAAGTTAGCTAGCGGCTCACCTCATGCTAAGCGATTACCGAGTCCCATGGATATTTACGACACCTGAGGAGTTGCAGATGCTGTGACAACTTTAAAGCTATGGACCCCACTTATCCCATTCACTAGACGAAACGCAATAGTATAATGTGAAGCACACACAAGTTGTGGCCTAATTAAAACTCGATAATTCTTTCAGGATTTACGGGTAAAAGTTGCGAAGTTCAAATAGAATTCTGCGATGAAAACTCTTGTAGCAACGACGCTTTATGCGTCATCGAAGACGGCGTGAGGGTCTGTTATTGTGTGCCTGACTACCATGGAGAACGTTGCGAGTTACAGTACGACGAATGTTTACTTGGTCCAAGGTAAAGCACTTAAATTTAATTTCATCTTAAAACGGAACCTTATTGAGTTGGTGGTCTGTATATAAAAAAAAAATAATAATATATATATATATATATATATATATATATATATATATATATATATATATATATATATATATATATATATATATATATATATATAAAAATTATAAAAATGCAAAAAGCAATAATCTATTTCGCTATCTCTTATTTGAATTAATTGTATATAGACGACATTTTCATACATTCTTTTTTCTACGTGAGAAGCTGGCAAGAGCCCTGGTGGTTCACCTGATGTTAAGTAAGCCTCCCATGGACATTTGCGATATCCGTAGGTTTAAGATACGTTGCCACCTTTTAATAAAGTCCGCCTCGGCTACCTCACTCACGAGACGAAACGCACACACTTCCACTTCACGCCGGTCTTCTATGAGGTCGTGCTACTTACCCGGACGGACCTGCCCATTCGTGCAACAGCGTACTGTTAAGTGGCCCTACCTTAGTTTCTTCATGTGAATTTTTGGACTCTTTGGTAGATATAAGCTACAATGGTGTCTGGATCATTAAATTTGACGAAGAATTACATAAGTTATGGCGCATCGACAAAAACACCTTTGAAAATTGATATAAAAGTATAGAGATAATCTATTCGTTTTAGGTGTATGAATGGCGGGTCCTGTATTGATGGAGTGGATAACTTCACCTGTTCATGTCCACCAAATCTTACCGGACCTTTATGCGAATGTCTTATCCTAGATGAAGACAACTACAACTGTGAATACGTCAGTCCTACGGCCATCTATGAAACCACATCGACATCGTTTCTTACGACGAAAACGGAAAAACAAACTACAACTATAGTTGCCACTACAATGTCTACTAGTTTGAATGCTACTATTCCTAAAGAAGTTACATTAACGTCTGAATTTGATTCTATGACCTCTCCCACAGCTGATTTCGTATCTACAACCGAAATGTCATCGAATATGTCAATTTCAACCGGAGAGAACACAACTAAACCACTAATCACATACACAACAGAAAAACCTGAAGATGCAACCGCGACACCTTCATCTAAATCTGAAGAGACATTCGAAACCACTACAACTGATATCATACCAATAGAACCGCAAACCCAAAACACAATTAATTCTCAGGACTCTAAGAAGGAGAGTACGACTGCTTGCAAAGAAACTTGTATTGAAGTAACGGAACTCACAACTCCAATTACATCCATGGGCGATTTGGAAACGACGTTGTGGGGCAATCAAATGAGTTCAACGGAGTTTTTATCTTACCCCACAAAAGTAACTATGAGTTCAAACAAAACCGAATTGGAGAGGACAACTTCATCATATACAGAAACCACGACGCGAATTGCAGAAGAGACAACATTAACAAATAAAATAGACACTACTGAGAAAATGTTTACAGACGTCCCCACTGAGCTTTCTCCTACCGATACTACCACAAGCCACATAACTACAGAAGCGCTTGAAACTACTACAGCTATTGATAAAACAACGCACACATACACTACGATTCAGTCTGAATGTACAGAATCTCTTTGTAATAATCACGGAAGCTGCGCGAACACAATACACGGTATAAGAGTAAGTACAGATTTGTACAGTGTCCATTACACTTCGTTGGTTCTAATTTTAGATAAACTTAAAGCGCTTTTCAATCGATTTGTATTATTTCAAGTGCCACTGCTCGTTCAATTATGGAGGAAGATTTTGTGAGGAAAAACTGAACGTGTCAACAGCTGCCTTCGGCGGGAACTCCTACATTATTCATCATTTGCACAACACTACCTCTATTAGTATTGGGTTCAGCGCGAAAACATTAATAAAAGACGGTCACATCATGCACGTAGATATAGCCGGAGGAGCATACATAGAGCTCCTTTTAAATTCGGGCCTGTTAAAGTTCAAATTCTCATGCGGGTACCAAACGATGCTTTTGAGTGAGTTGAAAACGTACGTCAATAAAGGATTCCCGATGAAAATTGAGACGAGGTAACTTGAAATTCAATCGAAGTACCTACTGCTATTTTGTGATTAAAGTATTTTTTGTAAGATTATCCTTCTTTCATCAGATTAGACTTATATTTAGAGAAACAACACTGCAATGCCACACTTCACTTGAACGACACCGTTGCGATGAGTGGGGGCCAAATTGCCAACATAAGTTCCATCGATCGCAATATAATGGTTTATTTTGGAAACGCGCCTGATAGTAAATATAACAACAACCAGCCATTTATTGGATGCATAAATGATCTAATGGTAAGTACTAAATCCATTAAGAAACCTACTTCTATCGCCAAATTAGAAAGAGAGTACTTACTCTTTCTCCTACCCCCATCCCACCTAGATGGGATTGGTACAACTGCTATTAATTAGATTAATAGATGTTAAAACTATAACTTTTATACTTAAAATTTCTTTATTTATTGTCAAGGTTAATAATGAGAAACGAGAGATTTTCGGTGACGCGTTCAACGCTGGCGAAGTTTCGGAATGTTCCTCATTGTCTTGCTTGTCTGGGCCATGTCTCAATGGCGGCACATGCAGCGACTACGGTGATGGATACGCATGCTCTTGTGCTAACGGGTATTAAATTTATAAAAACAGAAGTCTTCTGCACTGTAGCATAATTTCAAATGTACAAAAAAACCATCTAAAATACTCGATATATTTTTAGTAGCGTCTTGACGACATATCACTTTATAGTAAAAAAAGTTTTTCTTTTTGTTATATTTGTTGTTAGCAATTTCGTGTTTTAAAAATGTGTTATTTCTCTTAAATCATTCAGTGTCAAAAGTTATTATGTAGTTTTATCCTAAACTCTTTCAATCTCCAGCACCAATTATTAAATCCGGTACTGTTTAATGCTAAGCAAATTGATTTAGATGGATGGGCGATCATTGTAACCAGTCGATATGCGAGAATAATCCTTGTGAAGCGGGGGGCAGCTGTGTTCGTTATCCGGGAAGCGGTTTCCTGTGCCTTTGCCCTTATGGCAAACACGGTATCTTTTGCGAATACAGTAAGTTATATTTTTCCTATTGATACTAAATCATTTGCGAGTCGTTGGTGATTGATTAAATAAAGGACGCTACTTCGATCGATACCAGTTTATTGTAATTACGATAAAATTATTGCCTGAAAAACTTATATCTGTTTCATTAATTTAAAAACTTAATATTCTCTATGCATTTAAGAACGTTAATTGGTAAAGCTAATACAGACTGTTTTAGACGTCAGGGTCGGTGTCTTCGTTCTTAGTTTGTTATACAATCGCCAACCATGCGGCCGAATTCAGAACTTAAAAATGCTACTGCATCCATAGATTTATACCGACCGCAACAGGCAGTGTTCATCGCCCCCGACGATGAACACGTAACCGCCGCCCGGTTTCAATATTCAATCTACAGATAGATTTGGTCACTAGCGATAGATATTTGACATTAACTCCATAATACTTACGTAAAAATTATGTTTCTACTAACCAAATCTATTCGTAGGTAGAATATAGAAACCGGCCGTAAGAAAACCTGTCCAGAATATACTGAACTTCGTGTGCACCCCAAGGTTCTTTGAGACAGATATTCATAATGAACGTTTTGCTGCTTACACGTATTATCTGTTGATGCGTGCGACGTCGACACTCGACATTCGCTTTGGCAGACGTCGAGATAACACGTCCGTCGCTCGCGCCAATCGCGAGCGGAGTGTCGTCCTACCTCGTCTACCCGCTGTCCCCCCCCGCGACGAGCTCCGAGCGCTTCGAGCTGCGGCTCTGCTTCCACACGGCCGACATGGAGCAGATCGCGCTGCTCGCTTTCGTCGGACAAAATGGCCGCCACGACGCGCGCAGCCAACACCTGGCGCTCACCTTCGTGAAGGGCTACCTCATGCTCACGTGGAACATGGGCAGCGGTGAGGGGTCAAGTATTTTCGCGACGAGTGATTTAGTAACTGAGCTTTTGGATGGAAGTTTCATTGTGCTCTGTTCAAAATTGTTGAAACCATTTTAGCTTTGAAAGCATAAATTGTTAAAGTAAAGTAATAGAATTTGCTAGCGACGAGTGATTTAATAACTGAGCTTTTGGATGGAAGTTTCATTGTGCTCTGTTTAAATTGTTGAAAGTATTTTCAGAAAGCTTTAAAAACCTAAATTGTTAAAGTAAAGTAATCGAATTTGCTAGCGACGAGTGATTTAATAACTGAGCTTTTGGATGGAAGTTTCATTGTGCACTGTTCAAATTTCTGAAAGCATTTTCAGCAAACTTTAAAAGCCTAAATTGTAAAAGTAAATAAGTATCCTATATATGTCCCATTGCTGGGAAATGGCCTCCTCTTTACAAACTGTATAAGGGTGTAGTCCAGGACCACCACGGGAATACTGAATAAGTCATTATTTCAAATGGAAGGAACAATTTCCTTGGTGCCGCCACCGGGATTTGAGCTCAGGTTGCTCGAGTATGTTGATTTCAAAGCGAGCGCCCAGACACTGAGCTTTTAAACAGCTTTTAAAACCTAAAAAGCAATAAATGTGCATAAAAATTTTGCAATAAATGTGCATAAAAATTTTGCAATAATGACTGCCGAACATGATCTAATATTCGATACTAATACCTAGCAGTAGTTTTGTTCAATTATTTATCTCATTAGCCGAACCACATTTGATTTCCTTAAAGTGAATAAAAAGAAATGTAATACAAAAACATTTTGTTCAGAGGAGAAGAAGTAGATCATTAACACTACGAAAAGACTACAAACGAAAGTTTAATTGATTGTCAAAGATAACCGCCGCCCATCAGCAACACCAGGAAACTTTTCCGGTGTTCATAGACAGTCTTTTAGCAACAGATTGTAAGCTCTTATCCTCTACCCAGTAATGTCCCTATCGAGCAGGAGATGAAAGCATACGCGCGTCTTTCGAGACTACAATGCGAAATCGAGCTCGAACTTTATTCAAAGGCAACGCCTCTGCAACCCTACGGGTGTCGCAAATATCCATGGGCGGCGGTCGTCACCCAACACCGGGTAAACCGCCAGTTCAATTCCGGTCTGACCTTAAAAAGAAAAAAAAATAGGGCCACGACGCGTGTTCACGTCGCGCGCGCTGAGTGGGCGGCGCGGCGGGCATTCGGTGCGCGTGTGGCGGCGCGGGCGCACCGCCGGCCTCAGCGTCGACGGCCGCCACAACGTCTCAGGCAACGCGCCCGCGTCCCACCACGACAGGATGGCGCTGCTGCCCTACGTCTACATAGGTGAGATCCGCGATGCGCGAACACACACACACACTACACACGGGGGTCTTCCACACTGCCGTGAGAGTCGAGCAGGTGCATGTCCCGGGGAATCGAACCCCCTAAACCAAGCAGTGTCTCAGTGGCCGATTCGCGAACAGCTTTCATTGATGCACGAGTATAATCCTGCCACTTTACGCCGGTCTCCTCTGAGGCAGTGGTTTCCTCTGGCGAGGCTGCTCAATGGCGTACGGGGATGTACCATAGTGCCACATTTTAGTACTTTAGTACACTGAAGCTCCTTCGTGGTAACATCATGGTACGGCTGCACAGCTTCGTCGGTATCACGCCTCGATAACGCTAACGTGTTCGCGTGCTGAATTGTGCTTGAAATGTTCATGGAAAGTGCATGTCTTGTTTGACTGCTATCATGCGAACACCTTATATTGCGAATTAACGATACCCAAAGTTTTGCACATTTTGTTATTCGCTAATGGATTCTGAAATGTCTATACAGAATGTGATTGGGTTACTCGTAAGTCTTATGAACGCCTTTCCCAATATCCCGTAGACTAGGTACGTGTAACGCGAAACTCTGTCGCGAATAGGATGCAAAGATCGATACTAATGACTGAGAATGATCCGAACATTGCTTGTATAAAGTTATTGGATTTGTTTTTTTTTTTCGTGACACGTCCAGGCGGGCACCCATCTGAAAGCTTCTCGGAGCTGCCGCACGACCTGCCGCTGCACGGTGGCTGGAGGGGCTGCATTTGGGACGTGAGCGGTCAGGCCTTGGGCGGGAAGGTGGTGGGCGGCCGCGGAGTGGGGCAGTGTGGCGTCGCCCAATGCACGGCCCGCTCTTGCAATGCGCCTAGAGGCGTCTGCATACACTCACCAGCCACATATGGGTGAGACTCTGTTACCATAACATAGTATAATAACGGCAATGCAAATATGGAATGCATTTGGTAGTTTGCGACATAAAAGATGTAATAAACTTAACTCAAATTGGTTTTAGATTTATTTTATATAGCATAGTAATATTTGACAAATATGTCCTCAGATCGTAACATAACCTAAGTCTTACATCGGATTTAAATCTGAAGCGAAACCTAGATCCATAGCGACGAATGCTATCGCTTAATAACAGTACCATTTGACTATCAGGGGTTATTATTTTGATACTTTAGCTTAGTGAAAATGTAGGCAACACACCTCTGAATTCACATCACCATTTATTTCCAATAATATACCAACAATAATTTGAGACAGAAATTGTAGCTGTTGAAACTTAGCTCGAAGCAAGCAAAACATGAAGAGCCTCTCGCATCTTTAAATGACTTCATTAAAGCTACTAATAATTCGTTTCTTACCCATCCCTTTAAAGTAGACAACATTGAAGGGATGAAAAAGAAACTAATTGAGTGAATGTATTAAACATTACCACGTGGGTTGGTTGCGTAGCTGCATATGCAGCGAGGGCTGGTTCGGCGCGACGTGCTCGAGCCAGCGGCAGCCGTGCGGGCGCGGGAGCTGCCGCGGCGGCTGCGTCGTAGGGAGCGGCGCGCGCGCGCACTGTGACTGCCCCTACGGGAAGGCCGGCGACGACTGCGAACGCGGTTAGGGCCGCGTTCCATTTTCAAACCGTTGATTTACTTTTTTAATTAATATTTTTCCTAAATACAAACGGCCAGCGTTATAGATGTGGTAAGCAATATCCAGATAGTTTGGTTCTCTAGAAGTTATGAATGAGAAATGCTAGAAGGAGGATCGGAAGGTCGTACTCAAGGTAAATATTAATGGGAATGGAGATATATACTATGTGTAAGAGATCTTTTTACAGATGTCTGTAGCGAAGGGGCTTCATTTTTTGCATCGTTCGTCAAAATTGTGACTAGAATAATATTTAATGACTTTCAGATGTCATTCCTATCGACGTGCTCTTCACCGGCGTCAGATCCTACCTCCAGCTCGTCACCCGTCCCATATCCAGCGTGAGCTTGTCCCTCGAGGCCGAGATCAAGCCTGCGAAAGAGCGCGGCCTCGTGATGTTTGTTCAGACGCCTCATTTCTACACAACCTTGTCCCTTCAAGGGGGATTACTAGAATATCGATGGACAGGTACGTTAAATGAAGCAAAAAAATAATTTAACGTTATTAACCATTACCAATAGGAAGTGTGCTACGCTTTGTATGACTGGAAAACTTGAAACAAACTGGCAGCATTTAGGTCAGAATAATCGATCGGTTGATTTGTAACACAGAGATACGACTAGAGACTACTACATATCTGAAAAAAGTAATTTAACAGCCTATACTTGTCCCACTACTGGGCAAAGGCCTCCTTTGTACAGAGGGTATTAGGGTAAGACCGGCACGCGGTCAAGCTGGTCGCTTTGCAACCAACTTCATTGTGTCCCTTTTTGGCTATCACTGCGCGGGCGTCGTGAAAATATTACTGTTATATATCTTTTACAAACGCGCTAAAAGAAATGTAGGATTTTTTAATGTGAAACGTTGCCAAGCTAGCAGGCGGTTCTCCTGATCTTAAGTGAATACCGCCGCCCATGGACATCGATGGACAGGTACGAGCTACCAAGGGTTGCAGATGCGTTGACAACCTTTTGAAAATTAGGCTCCGGCCATTTCATTCACCAGACGAAACGCGAAAGTATTTATTGTACTTCCACTTTACTCCGGTCTTCTGTGTGGGCGTTTTACTTACCGGGACGGGCCTGCCCATTCGTGCGACACAGCAGCCGAGGCTGCTGCGCGGCCCACAGTCAAAACAGCTAGTCTCTTTTGAAGTAGTAGTCTCTTTTGAAGCTACACTCCTAACCGCCTGCAGACCGGCTTTCGGGGCTGACGTCGCTGGTGCGCAGCGGCGCGGTGCTCTCGCTGTCGCAGTGGCACCGCGTGAAGGTGGGCCGCTACGGCGCCAGGCTGTACGTGTGGCTCGACGGCGCCCTCGCAGCGGAGCCGATGGTGGCGCACGCGTACCCGCACACCGCCAGCGACGCGGACATCCTCCTCGGTGCGAATTAACTTCGTTGCCTCTAAGCGATCTCACACTTGCACTCCGTCAGCTCATCTAACTATTATTATTAAGGCGAACATCCTCCTTGGTACTCTAACCGATATTGTACTCCGTCCACTTGTCTAATGATAATCAATGTCATCATCCTCCTTGGTAACACTTCTAATCAACCTAACAATTGTACTCTGTACGCTTCTCTAACGATAATCAATGTCATCGTCCTCCTTTGAAAACACTTTTAATCAATGTAACACTTGTACTCCGTACGCTTTTCCTCTAACGATTACATATTCATCATCATCCTCCTTGGTAAAAATTCCGTTCTATGTAACACATCTAACACTCCATCCGCTTCTCTAACGATAATCTATGTCATCATCCTTAGTACAAACTCCACTGTTTCTAAGACTTCTAATCGATGTAAAACTTGTACTCCGTCCGCTTCTCTAACGATGATCTATTTCATCGTCCACCTCGCTTTTATGTAACACCACTAATCGATCTAGCGCTTGTATTCTACCCGCTCAACATAGTGTGATTTTGTGGGTGTCAGACTTATCATTTCAATGAAACATATTCTATACATGACAGTTTTTCGATACATCGATGTTTTTTTTTTTTTTAATTAAATGAGGATAAAATCCTTTTTCCATTTATTTGTATGGAATAAAATTTTATTATGAGATCGATCTCGTGGTAAAATTGATACTTAGCAATATATTTATAATAATAAGTGAAACTGTTGTATTCCTCAGGTGGCGCCCAAGATTTGGCCACGATACCTTTCGACGCTATGACGGGGCCTCCAGAGTCCTACACGGGCTGTATCAGGAATTTGCACGTGAACAATGTTCCTGTGCCTTTGGAGCCGCAAAATATAAGAGGTTATGAGTAATTTCTGTAGTAAGAAAGTAAACAAAAGTATTCATTTCTAATATAACATTTTATTAAAAATAGATTATTTTTAAAATTGTTTAAAACGGGTTATTTGAATTCATGGCTCCGTGATACATATTGGTGATGGGTACTCAAACTTTTATATTGATTTATTTATTTGACAATTTCTTTATTTCAAATCACTAATAGACTTTGCCAGGCTTGAAATATATATGAATAATGTAGGTATAATATATAATATAAAGAATTTATGGATAACTAAAAAAAAGCCTAAACATGATGGGCAGACAAAAGTCACTATATTGGTGTGTCAAAATTATTAAACATTGAACGAGCTGCCAGTACCTACCGCACGCGTGAAACAAATATCGGCAACCGATTGCACGGATAGCGTAAGTGCAGGGTTTATCAAGTGGCCAAATTGGTGGCAGACGGGCGCAACGTGGACGCGTGCGGGGCTGAGTGCGCGGGTGGCAGGTGCCGCCGCAACGCGTGCCACCCGGCGACCTGCTCGCCGCCGCTGGGCCGCTGCCACCGCGGCCGCTGCCTGTGCGCCGCCGGACGCGCCGGCGAACACTGCCAGCTGCGTAATTGCGTTTTTTTTGTTTTCGAAGTTATAGTTATTATGGGGCGTCCGGAAAAAAAAATGAGAGTAAAATTTTTAAGATGCGCGCGCACACCGACCCCCAAAAAGCGACATGATTTCCACGGTAGACTTTGCGGTATTACCGTGGCAACCAATAAAAACTTTTTGACGTTTACCTATAATTCCAATATACATCCGTTGCATTTAATGTCTTTTTCACAATCAAAGAGTAATGGCGCAGGGAATAAAATTTTTAGTTATTTTTCTTTTTTTTACATTAAAGAAGTATAACTTCTTACGTGCGTACATAAGTACACTCACAATTTGTTTTAAAGTGAAACTTTTTCCCATCACCTGAATTTTTTTCGTCCATCTATCGCATATCGCATTACAGCCGCCCGCGGAGTAAGTGTAAAGTGAAAGGCGCTCGGAAGAGCTGCCAAGGCCAATATGGCGGCGCCCATGGCTCGCATCAAATCACCGTGTAGCATTTGCATTAAATTTTAATGATTAATTGTTTTATAATTAATATTCTCGAGCACTCCCGAAGGAGCCTTGGCTCGGGCTGTCACTCTATTATCAATTGTAACTGATTGTAGTCGCTTTTGGTTTCATGTGAAGCAACTAGGCACAAGAGCCTTTAAACTCGACTTTACTCAATTACCGTTTAGCATTCCATATTCAGTTTCTGGGGCCAAGTTGATGTGTAATCATTGAAATTAGGAAATAAAGTTATTTTATTTTATTTTGAAAGTCCAAAGTTCCCAGGGCTTAGTTACAAATATAATGACGTAATTATCAGGTTGTTAGTGTTAAACTGCCATGTCATATATCGTCCTACAGTCAGACACCGTAAAATTGTGTTAAGTTTATACAAGAGCTGGGCAAAAGCTTAGCTGTGAAACACACTATACACTATAAATCCATTATGAAGCTTGTTCGCCGACTGTATACCATAATTTTAGGTGCTTGATTTTATTAATTAGCACAATAAAAGTAAAATCATCCATACATCATTTTTTTTTCAGAAATCAATGTAACCGTACCGCAATTCGACGGCGACTCTCTACTATCGCTGGGTAGACGCAGCTTGAGGGATCACGCTGGCGGACAGAGGCTTTCATCGACGCCCAATTACGTGGCGCTAAACTTCACCACGTCAGAGACGAACGGCCTGCTTCTCTGGATTGAAATGGTGACGTTTATTTTTTTTAATAAAAACTGCTTTTTAATAGAAACTTGTAAAATTTGACGATTCGTAAGAGCGCGCAAGCGTCTATTTGAATAAATATATTTATGATTTTGATTTTGATTTAGACTGCAAACGAGCAAGGTCACCCAGTGGCGGATTTACAAATTAGCCGGCAAAAGGCTGTTCAAATTTTGCCGCCCCTACTGATGTTAGTTCGCAATCATATTAATTAATGACATTTATTCTGTCAATAAAAATGCAACTTTTTGATTTGTGCTCTATAGTCTTCATCACTTCAGTTTTTTCTCGTTGTTAGCAATTTCTTGAACTAGCGTTTCGTTGTGCCAATTTCTAAATTATATTTACAACCAACTATTTAGAATACACGAAAAATGTTTTTTGGGTTTTGTAAAGCTCAATCATGTTTAGATTGCACTTACAGTTTAAAAATAATACAAACAATATCTGCATTACATTTTCTGTTAACAGTCCGGTTGATAATGACAATGGAATATGAATCAAGTTATGAAAGTTCTACATTAAGTTAAATTTTCAAGACTCGTTTTCCTCATGTTTATAATGATGTTATTCTTTATTATAAGACAAAAATTTTCGGGTCAAAATTGCCGCCTACTTAGCTTTAGGTATAGCTTGCTGGTAAATCCACCACTGTGGTCACCCGATGGTAAATGATCACCGCCACCCGAATTTGACTGGTTCCATAAAATAGCTGTGCGGCTGAAAATATACACAGCGGTGGACCGCCATCATCCGAGGTGGTGTCGATTGTGTTTGGCGCTTTGACAAATTTTACGGTGGTAAAAATCGCCAGCGGGTATCAATCAGAACAATGCCTCAGAGCACTCCCCGTGATATATGCTTTACAAAATGCGAAGAGATACGTCTCGTCACGCCAAAGGATCGAGGTGATTGGCCTGGACGTGGTCATCGAAGATTTCAGCAGCTCTTCGTTGGACGCTGTCAAATGAAAAGAGCTAGTATTGGGACGCCACAGCCAAGATTGCAACTTAGGACACCGAGCTTTTTAGAAGCAAAATTAGCTTTCCCTTTCAAATGACCAAAATGAAAGGCTGTATGGACGTGTTGGCGTATATAGACCTAAATAGTCAGATTAAATGCTGCTCGATATATCAACGCCAAGAATTTCGAGTCTGTAGCAACAAGGGGAGTGGTCTCAAAAGAAGGAGTCACGACCTAGGGTTTCCTCTTTGCGGTAAACGAGTAAACCCGTGTTCTAACTTAAACTTATTCCCTTGATGATTTCATTCAGGCCTTACAGAATGTGTTGTTTAAGTTGTTTAAGTTGACATATAGCTGTAATAGCAATTTCTAAGAGATACAATATTTTAATAGTTGCAGTGAATAACGTGAAAGAGAAAAAAATGAGTGGTGTTTTTTATTTTTCTACGAAGATAGTGTAATATCTTGGGGCTTTTTCTTTTAGGCATTTGTACAACCCGACCTATTACTATGTGTAACAACATAAAATTAATATTTAATACCTGAAGAACCAAGGAATAAAACTATTTTACAGATTTGATCCCTTCTAATTTTGTTTTTTATATTCCCGCCGTTTCAATTTTAGGGCGTCCACGGGACTGTGGGCATGTGTAGCGTTCGAAACGTCGGCAATTTCAAAACAAGTGGTAACGCTGTAGAATCCATAAAATTATTTCTGCACTGCACATACTGCACATTGTGCAGTATTGTATTCGCGTAACTAAAAGTAATTATTACTAGAAACCACTGCTGTAAACTTATATAGTGTCAATATTTTTGTAAGAGCTCGTGACAAATCTAAATGATACTTTATATTTTAATTTAACGGAAATCGCCTCATGATATGATAGCTAGAACTGGTGGATTGTAATGAAGCTAATCTTTTACAGGGCATTGACAGTATAGGAATCGGCATTGAAAATGGATATCTTAAATTAATCTGGTCCCTTCATTGTGATATGACGCATGAAGGTGTAGAGATTAAAGGGAACTCCATCCCGATCAGACCCCGTAGACTGGCAAGGATATTTCCGAACGCGGGATTTCTAGCTGACGGCAATTGGCACAAATTGGGATTGGACCTCGGCAAGAAAAACACAACTTTGACCATAGACAAACATTTGGCTTTCGTAGAAGAATCGTGTATCAGGGAAGGACTTGTCAATGATGACGTCGACATGTATGTGGGTACGTGCAATCTAGCTAACTTTATGTTCTTCACAAAAAAAATCTAGTTTCGAAGTTTTAAAATAAGGATATTTAATCCTGTGTTTTACAGTGTAAACTCTGTTTAGGTTTATCTCATGGTTGTATAATATGCCCATGTAGCATAATAAAACAGGCGTAGATATCTATTTCAGACAGAAGTAAAAGTTTAATTAAAAGTTTTCGCATATGTAAGACCAACATAAACAATGACAAAGTTGTAGTTTAACATGTTCCCTTAAAACCAGGTAGGGTTTAATATATTAAACTACTTCTGGTAATTTTTTTAAATTCTAGTGCAATTTCAATATTAAGGTCCATTGAGTGTTGTAATTTACATTTTTTTTTAAATCCAGGCGGGGTAAACGAAGAAGATAATCCTGCAGTTAAGAAGATATTCCCCCAAAATTTCAAAGGATGCATAGATCACATTGCAACCGGAGAAGACGCCTATATAAATAATTATTCGGAAGTGTATAGTGAAAACATAAAGTCGTGCCAAGTTTTTCCAACTACTTAGTCAAAGAAAACACAGATAAAAAAAAAACATTTAACATAAAAAAAGACATTATTAATGCGTATGTTTGCACCGTTTTGCACGGGCATGACCATTAGCATATATTACGAGAAAATAAATGTAGAGAGCAGCACCAAAGTATAAAGTAAAATGAATTTTATTTGTAATATAAATTCGTTTTTAACACAATCATTTGAGATAATTTAGATAGAGGTTGTTTTTAGAATTAAGAATTATATGTCTAATTTATACGGTATTAGGCCAGTAAAAATAGACTTTTTTAGTCAAATTCTAATGAAACGACTCTAACTTTTGTATTAAATGAGGTTTCAGATTATCACTTATTAAATGTAAAATCATTATATGCTGACAGATTCCGGTGAAGCTTCAGGCGTCATCCGACTTAATAAAACGTTTTTGGTCAATATCTTATATACCATGCACTTTAGGACAAAAGTCATAACTACTATTACTGTAGAGAATAAAATTTTACATCTTTTATTTATTTCTTTATATATACTTTATTATACAACAGAAAAATTGAATACAATTAGTATGAAATAAATCTTAAAAGCTAGGTACAATAAAGGCGGTCTTATCGCTAAAAAGCAATCTCTTCGAGACAACCTTGGGACGAGAAAAATAAACTAATGAATAGTGGGAGGTACACCACCTCAATGAACTTACTTAATAATCCTAAAATAGACTAAAATATAATAAAATGAACTAAAATATAAAGAACATACATAAACATAAATAAATAAATAATACATATAATTAACATAAATAAATACACGAGAGAAGAATTAAATCCCAATATTGACAATGAAAACTCCAGATTACAAGGGGATAGATAATGATTTTTTACCTCTTTTTTAAACTTGTCTAGCGTTTTCGCACGACGAATTTGCTGTTTACTCCACAAGCAGATCTATTGACTGTAAAAGAGTTCTTATAATATATTGTTTGATAAGCATGTGGTGCTAGATTTAGTTCTCTAGCGGATCGCAGAACTCTTTCTGGACGGTTATGGCCAAGAAATTTTGTTCCTTTAAACAACTGGGAGTCCTAGGCTTAAATAATAGGTACACAGTACAGAAGAGAGACATTTCACAGCGTGCAGATTCCGGCGTAAACGAATGGGTAACCACTTGAGCTTGGAAGGAAATTCGGAGACGTGATAATATTTGCGTAAACCAAATAACCTAATACTTAAATTTTGAATAAGCTCAAGTTTATTTAGTTGTTCTTCAGTTAAATCAAGATAGCTTGCATCTGTATAATCGAGAATGGACAAAAGTAAGGATTGTGCTAGCATAATTTTAGTTGGAATCTTGTGTCCTTTGTATCCTATACACTTTTTTTAATTTACCACTTACGATTTATGGCTTATTTAATAAACAGGTTTTTCTATTTCGGCCGATAAATGTAAATATATTGGATGGATTGGAATGGAAATGCGCCGATCCAATTTTAAAGATCAACTTATATACGAAACTTTTTTTATAATGTCTAGGACGTTTGATATTGGACTACCAGGTGCAAGGTCATAAAATTACAAGAGTATAATGGTAAAAATTTAACAAATAAATAAATATCCCGGTTGTATGTCAATGTACTTAACAATCAAGAGTTTATCTCCTTACCTGCAATAGTAACTTAGTAACAAATTAGTAGAATACGTTTTCTTCAAAATGACGTCTGAAGCTCCATCGGAATCTGTCGGCATTTTGTGATTTTATAAACAGAATGTGATCCAAAACCTATATAAAACTAAAATTGGATTGGTATTTAGTGCGACGTTAAATTCTATTTTTCCTGGCCTATATAACTTATTCGCATAAGGCCACAATTTTTAAAATGTCATCATAATTTTATAACCGAACGAACGTATGATTAGTTCAAATTTTTATCATAATATTAACGTTTACGATGAGTTTATAAACATAATATTTATTATATTATTATACAATTCATTAACATTCTTGATCAAGAGAAATATGTGAACAAATAAATTTAGGTATAATAATTATGATATAAGTTTGTGTGCAATAACCCTTAATAATGCTATCTCTTCTTATATAGATTTTAAAACTAGAAAACAATCTCCATTTTATTTTAAGTTAATACAGATTTGTTTTTACGTATTTTATTCCACCTTATTTCACCTATGTTTTCTTCGTGGTGCGGTAGCTTTAGAAGTTAATTGTTGAAGTTGGGAATAATTTTAAACTTTCCTAACAAATCTAATAGTTGCTATTTAGCATATCAATAAATTATTTACATTTTATTTCGGTATAAATCCAAATTTCTCATACTGCGTCGTGGGTTTTAAAAATCAAAACTCCTTAAATGTTGCGAAAAATATCAAATATATCTTAAATAGTAATTGTTTGCCAATACCTTCCCTTTTACTATTAAAGATGATTCCGACATAGTTTTTATCATAAGGGAACTCGACATAAAAACATTTATTGTCAAAAAATGCTTCAATGTAAAGGAAAGTGCATACGTTTATGGAATATTTGATAACAAAATATTTCGAGCAATATATTCTCAGTGATTGTTACAATAAATTTTAATTGATTTTAGTAAAATATTTTAAAGAAATTTTAACATTATTTGTGTATCATAGCTGTAAGAGCAAAATAATAGTACAAAGTTTTCTAGTCGTCTTGTATTATTCTTAGGCTAACTATTAACTTAAGAATGTATTGAATATTACTTTATAAGGTTATTAAGACGGTTTTTTTAAAGAAAAATTAAAGATTCCTCATACACAAAATATAGTTTTATTGATATATTCACGTTTAATAAATTGTATACATAACATCATCGAATATTATATTATAAACATATACATTTCGTTATACGTCACTAATTCAAACACAAATACAATATGAGATGTTATCCCCGTTAATTATATTGGATTAATTTAAAAACATTTAGTCTCGGCGCGTATGAAACTCGTGGGCGCACGGGATTTAGTGTATACATGCCCTAACACAAAGCTCGTGAACACCTGATTTATTTACATTTCCATACAAAAGCAACATGTACGTACATTAAGTTGTAGAATTCATTAGGCCTATTTACAGTGGAATAAAGTTGGAATGCATGACTGTAGTACACAAATTGGCTTGCGATTACGGTATTGTACAATATGTGAAAGTCACTTAGGAACATCGATTCCCTTTATTGTTGTTACACGACAAAATATTGATACAAGGTCTAATAATAAATATTATAATAAGCCGTATAAATAAATAAATTGGTAATTGCACATCGTTACTATAAAATTTTTCGAAAATTAACAGTCCATTAAACCGCAAGCTGTGCTCACGGTCCGAAAAGAATGCCACGTGTAGATTGGCGTGAAGTGAATTTTTCTATAAGACCAAATAGTTATCATCGTACATCTCGATAAGCAAAAACGTAGGAATGTTTCTAATAACATTTATAAGCATAAAATAGAATAGGACAAGCGGATCACAGAAGTAAATATTATATATTTACGAAGTACATAATTAAGCCTACATTGGTGCACAGCAATTTTCATGTCTATGACAAACGAATATATACGGTACCGCGACGGCTCGAGCTAAAACATCGAATGCATTAAGGCCTATGAGATAGTAATAATATGTTTTTATTATAATTGAATGACATATCCTCATAAAAATCTTTAAAATATTACAAACATCGAAATCTAAATTGTATTTTTATATAATGAATACAATTGAGACATTAAACTTACCTACAATGAAATTATTTAATTTTAAAATTATATTTAGATCGAAATCATTTAACATTTCTAATATAATTCTATAAAATAACAAATACCGTTAAGGGATCCCACTGTCTATAATAATTATATATTTAGAAGCAAACTTTTGCCACATAAAGTAGTACTTGAACAACTACTAATTATATACCGGGTGGTAACAATCTCATTACATTGATAATCTCTATTATATTAATAAACAAATTAAGCTACAATACATAATGTCATTTTTAAAGGGTTATGTCCTATTAGTATAAACATAAAAATATTGACCGTACACTGAAAAGGATCTTAAAAAGTAATCATTCCAAATCTAAGGTTATGGGGTCAGAAAATATTTTACATTCAAATTGCAGCGGCCCTGCGCTAATCACGTTGGGGATAGTTCGGCGCTAATTTTTCTTAAATCGCCCGTGTGAATAGCGCAAATAGTGATAAGATGATCGTCAATACGAGATATAAAAGCATTTCAAATCAAATGTTTAAACAGAAAGCATATTCTTTTTAAAATCAGTCTCATTCGCATAAGGAAGTGATCACAGCACACACACTGGAAACTCGTTGCAGAACGAGGGGCCATGACCCTCTCAACAGAACATTAATAATAATAGAGCACCATGGTTGCTAACTCGCTATACTTAAATATGATTAAAAACATGCAACAGACGAATCGAAAATTGTATTATATAAAAATATCAAGTGTACGGGAAACAGAGCCCAGAAGACTAACGATAAATCCGATGGAAGTACAAATATCAAATGACTAAAATTATAAAATATAGATATATTTCATTGGATACAAAAATATATTTCCACCTAATAGATAAAGCAAAATGAAAAGATAAGTTCATACAGTAGACTAGATATGAAGAGTTCTTCAATATATTGGGAGACGCGATAGAATGTAACAAACATAATTATATCCTAAAATAAACATCTCATAAATGGCAACTTCACATTTATGAATAAATGTTTTCACTTAAGTGAAGCTAAAAATAAAAAGGCTATTTTAACACAAATTATTTGATAAATATGTGTTAGGCCGTAAAGAGCGCATTTTAATTTCGCCATGGCTTCAAAACTATCTCTCGTTAAAATCAGTTTAAATACTCACAGTTAAAAAATTATTTTTGGAAACAAGTAAAAAAAAATATTTAGAAGCTTTTAGTTTTTGTCGTAAACGATACTTTTCTCTGATATAATTAACTACTATATACATATAAATAACATTTAGGTTTACGTAGTTTTAACATGGTGCATAAAACGGAAGCAAAATGTTTGTACAAAATATAATGATAAGCTTACAGGATTGCACACATTAATCAGTAGCAAGAGCGACTGTTCCCATCCACACATACAGAAATACATAAATGAGGATACCTACATAAGAATACATCGTCAATATTTAGATTTATATCCTAATAAAATACAAATGTATAATGCGCTCCTAATACGGACACCGACAGCACTCATAATAATAGACAAAATTGGTAATATGAAACTACATTCTTATAGAGGCCGTCGCGTCCTTCGCCGACTCGGTTTAGGGCGACGCGGCGTCGGCGACATTGAGCCACGATGCCGCCCTTGCGGATCGGCATCGGCGCCGAGTCGAGCTCCGTATACGTCGAGTCCGACGGGACGAGCGCTTGGTCCGCCCGACAGGTTGGATCGATTCGGTTTAATTCGGATCGTTTCCGGGGCCGGGCGGCGCGTGGGGCGTCACAAGCGTGTCAGGGCCCGGGAGCGCGCCGCCGTCAATGCGTGTCACGGCCTCGGCTCCACCAGCTGCTGCACCAGCACCGCCACGAGCACCGCCAGCAGCAGGAAGCCGGCCGCCATGAGCAGCGCGGCGTGGCGGGGCGCGAGGGGGCGCGCGGGCCGCGGCCGGCGCACCTTGGCCGCGGGCGCCGCCGCCGGCACCGCCAGCCGCGCCGCCGCCGACCACGCGCCCAACAGCCCGCCGCGCACCGCGCACACGCGCACCACGTACTCCGCCCCGTGCTCCAGCTCCTCCAGCGTGAACTGCGTCTCGCCGCCCGCGTACACCTGCACGTTCACGACATAATACGCTGTAATTCAGTCTTCCGGTTTTTAATCTATTGAGATAAAAAGATTACGTTCGATGTTAGCAAATCGTCGATAAGTGCAAACGCAACGAAATAATTTGCAAACCTGCTTGAAGACGGCGTCTTTGGTGCGTGCGCACTGGAGCACGTACTCGACGTCGTCGAGCTGCTCCCAGGCGACGGTGGCGCGGCGCGGCGCGTTCAGGTGCACGGTGGGGGGGCGCAGGGCGGGCGGCGGGGCGGAGGGGGTGCGCGCGCTCACCGGTGCGCCCCACGCGCCGCGCCCGCCGCGCTCGTCGCTGGCGCGGATCCGGAACCAGTAGGTCGTGGCCTCGCGCAGCTTTTTCACCTTGCAGCTCTTTGCCGAGCCTCGGTACACCGGGCGGAACTCGCGCGTCTCGGCGGCGCGCATCTCCACGCAGTACAGCGTGCCCTCCGCGCCGCCGTGCCAGTCGAGCTTGATGTAGTTGTGGACGACCTGGGCACAACGCAACTCGGGCGGCGCCGGAGGCCGCGGACGCGTCGCCGCGCGTGCCTCTTCCGACCACTCGCCCAATCCCAGTTCGTTGAGAGCCGCCACTCGGACTCGGTATACCGTGTCCGGTTGAAGACCTTCCACTAGACGCTCTGGTGTTGGGCCGTCGGTCTCGAAAGAATCTTCGTCAACTTCCACGCGGTACCCCAATATATCCGCGCCGTGGCTGGCAGGACAACGCCAATGGAGACGCAGGCTGTCCACTGTTGCCTCGTGTCTAATTCCTGAAGGCGGCGCTGGAGGGGCGCGGGGTGTTAGAACGTCGCGCACTCCCGAAAACGCTCCACGGCCGGCCGAGTTTGTGGCACACACCCTAAAGAAGTACGGTGAGAAGGGTGTCAGCTTAGATACCTCGCAGGCCGTTTCACTTCCCCGGTAAACCTCCGCGAACGTATCATCGTTGTTTGTTGTGCTCATTTCGAGCCGATAGTCTATTATCGGCGCTCCATTGTCCCGTGACGCGTGCCATTCGAGACGAATTGTCCGCGAATTTTCAATAAAAACAACGGGGGTTTCTGGCGCGTCGGGTGGAGCGGGCGCAGTGGAGAAATGAAGCGGAGGCGACGGCAGCCCTGCACCCACTTTGTTACAGGCGACGACCCATACGCGATATTCGCAACCTGGCTGCAGCTCGCGAATGATGCACTCGCTCTCGAGTGATGAGTGCGCTATACGCACAGTACCATCTTCTCCTACAATCTCCACCCTGTACTCGGTAATGGGAGATCCGCCATTGCATTCTGGTGGCCGCCATCGCACCGCTAGCAGCGTGGCGCGCGGTTCGGCGGCCGGCTCCGGGGCAGGGCAAGCGCTAGGACATGTCGCCTCCGTCGTGATCGTTTCCGCAGCAGACCAATCGCTTTCGCCGGCGACATTGGCGCAGCGAACACGCGCGCGATATTGGACGCCCGGTTGTAAGCGGTCGCAATGCGCCTCCCTCTCAGGACCCTTGTAAACGGGCTGATAACCTTCTCCGCCGTCGATTTCCAGTATATAAGTGTCAACCGCTGCGCCGCCGTCGTCCGTCGGCGGATCCCACCTGAGTCGGAACGCACGAGAGTGTATCTTCCCCTTCGGCGCAGGCCGCCCGGGTGCGCCGGGCCGTTCGGGCAGAGTACGGTAGGTGACCTCCTGCGACCAGGGGCCCTGCCCGTCGGCGTTCTCGCACCTTAAACGGAACCGATAGTCGGAGGCGCGACGCAGGGAGGTGCAGTCGTAGGAGCACTCGGTGCCCGTGTATACAGGGAGAAATCCGTGGCCGCGCGCCACCTCGTCCATCTGTAGGGTGAACTCCTCATCGGCCTGGCGCTCCCAGGCGAGCGCGAGGCTGTCGGCGGCGGTGCGGACGAGGGCGGGGGGCGCGGGGGCGGGCGGCGGCGCACCCATGGTCCAGCCGGCGAACTCGTCGCTCCACTCGCCGCGGCCGCACTCGTTGACGGCGGCGATGCGGAAGCGGTAGCACGTCTGCGGGCGCAGGTTGTTGACGGTGTGCTGGCGCGTGCGCGGGCGGGAGACCTCCGCGAAGCCGTCGCCCGAGTCCATCTCGAGCACGTAGTGGAGGACGCGCGAGCCGTTGTCCGCGGCGGAGGGCCAGCGCAGCAGCAGCGAGGCGCGCGTGCGGTTGGCGATGCGCGCGGGCGCCAGGCGGGCGGGGGGCGCGGGGGGAGCGCGGAATGTGGCCGCCTCGCTCGCGGCGCCGGTCTGCTCGCCCGCGCGGATCTGCAGGCACACCGAGTATTCGCACCCGGGCCTCAGGTCCCGTACCCTAAAATGGAAGAGTTTGATTTCTTTACTGTATGCACAATATAAAATAGATAGTTGGAACAAATGGAGAAAAGCATGTACAAAGGCAAGCTTCTCTTTAAGAGTGTTCTCTACCAGCAGACTTACTAATAAAAACTTTGGCCGCCATAATATAATGTTAAAGATTAAAGAGCTGACAACAAATCATTAGACTGTAGTGCCCAGCTTATAGATTGATCCGGAAAATTTACATTTGAATGCAGAACCATTTCTTCTTATACAGGCATTCTCAAAAAATGTTCTACCTTGTATTATTTGCTCATTTTAATCAAGTCAAATATATGGAATGAATTATTAACTCATTAATTTATAAGAGGATAGAAGGCAGTTATGTTACTATTTTTTCCTGATAATGTAAGATAAATTGTGTGTTCTATTCTGTGTTATTTAAAAAGCATAAAAATTAATACTTACCGACAAGACAATGACGGCCCACTGTAGATCGCTTTATAACGTCCTCGGTCACCCAAAAGTAAGTCATACGTCAATTCCACATTAGGCAATGAAACCCCTTCTGGCAACGGTGAATTCCATTGCACTAAAGCACTGGTAGGGGTTATATCGCTAACCTAAAAAAATCAACACAAGTTGTGTGTATAAATTAAAAATAAAACTGTTAAAAGGCAAATAAAAGGATAAATTATCTAAAATAACAATTCTGATATAACAGTCTGTCAATAATTTACTTGTGACATAATCTGATATCTTTAAATCGGACCAAGTTGAATAAAATTTAAGGTGATAGAAAATTTTATAAGACATTACAAGCTTAACACTTGTATAGATGAAGACTTGAGTAATGGCAATCATTTATTCAATGTTAGCAAAACTGATTTAAGAAATTATTGCAATATTTGTTACACAAGGTATGAATTAGGGTCGAGGTAAAAGCCTTAATCACTAATATAATATCAATATAACAATTTTTTTTATTCAAATTAATTTTATAAATACCTGAGGGGTTCGAGTAGCTGAGAGTAGATCAAGAAATGCCTGCGTATCATTATCATCATCACCCTGCACAGATGCACCAGCCGAGGAACCTTCTCCTTCTGACCAAGCACCAGAAGAAGCACCGGCACTGCCGCCGCCTCTTCCATTTAATTCTTTCCGCGGTGAAAGAGAAGGTGTACTTGCACCAGAATTGATTTCTATTAAAAAAAAATAATAAGTTAATGATATGATGATCATTACTTTTATTTCTATGAACTATTTTTAAATAAAATAGTTATGTAGATGTTTGTTTGCCCTTAATTTAATTTATAGTGTAAGACTAAACTTGAAACTTAGGATGTATTGAAATTGCTGGTTACCAACAACTTTGCACTAACTGTTATTTTAAAGAAATAAAACTGAAAATTTAATGGCTATAAAGTTCAGAGAACATACAACACAAAGACAATTAGAGGACAAAAATATAGAAAGGGTTTTGCATTAAATAAACATTTTAAAAAACATTTCACTCACCAACACCATTATTTCGATTGGTCTGTTTGCGTTCCAACTTTTGCTTAAGTTTTGAATATTGGCGTTGGGTTCTTTCATCCTTTTGGTAGACTGGTGGAGGAGGAGAATGTTGCAAGTGATGAGGAGGCACATGGTGAAAATGAGTTGGGTACCCAGCGCCATAGAAATGTTGTGGAGCTCCTGCACCATTGGTTGGACCCTGAAAATTAAAAAAGGTTTTATCTACTTTCTTTTTAAATAATCTTATTTTCATACAAACAAATCATTTTTATCAAATAAATTACTTCGCTGCTACTGACCTCAAATTGATTAGAAGTATTATTCCCAGTTGGATCAGTATTATGCATTTTTTGCGAGAAAACGTATAATCATATACTGAAGAACATCAACAGCAACAAGCTGTAGCAACTAAGTGGATGTTAAAACTAAACGTCAGCGCCACGTAGCCACGTAACGACAACTCGTTCGCCAGCGATAACACTCGCACAAGCTATCAAACACAACCGATTTAACGTCGCTACAAACGTAACCATATTATCAAAACAGAGAGACCAGCGCAGCGAAAGACGGACTGACGTATTGCAATGTTCATTTTATACCGTTTGTAAATTCACGAACTAAATTCTATCTGCATGTGAAACAATCGATAAATTTAAAGAGAATATTTAAACAGACGTTATAAACACTTGCTATTTACTCTACTAACGCGTATTTTTATGCCGATACTCACTTACTTAAAACATGGGACATAGGTGTTCAAATTTTTAGGTTGACAGCTAACAATAATTGTTTACATCTATTTCCAAACCAAACATATGCAAATAAGATATTTAAAAAATAATACCCAAATTATATTTCGGTTAAGCACAATTACATTTTAGTTAAAAAGGGATGTAAGAAAACTAAAAATACGATATTTTTTACTAAGTTAAAACTAATATGAATCGATCTACACGTCAACGGTAACTCTTAAAATAACTAAAGTTGCGCGTTAGACTAATCACTACCATCCGTCGGCCACACAATATTTTTTAATAAACAACATTATAATTTATAATAATAATATTTACAACTAAATCTGAAACTATAATTTATTCATTTGCTATAAGAGAAAACAGTGAACATAAAAATAAGATAACATTATGTTATAAATTGCATCATTTACATTATGTTATAAAAATTAACTGGCATATAATAGAAAGGCTATTTCTTTTTAAGTTTTTTTTTTTTTACTCACATTGCCCTTACTTTAGAATAACATTATCCTGTGTTGTAAGGACGTTTTTACAAATATAAATTTCAAGTGGACAAACACCCAGATGCGAAACGTCTATCTGTGGGTCACACAAATAGTTGTCCCGTGTGGGAATCGAACCCACGACCCCCGACGTCAAAGCCAATACCTTGGCAACTGCGCCACGGAGTCATCAGAGTCATTAAGTTGATTAAACATAAAAAGGAACATTAATTTATACAATTAAGTTTAATTGTCTCTTATCACAATTTTAACATTAGGGACAACTATCTAAGTACGCAAATTTGCAATTTCCAAATTGTTCATTAATTATAAAAATGGTCCTATGAAAATCGATTTAATCATTTCGGAGATTACTTCAGACAACCATTGTTTGGACTATTATCTTGAGGTGTTAATTAATAATAACAACCATTTACCATCAAGTATGTCCATAGATAATAGACAAAATTAGTAATGATCATACAAAAATAAAACTGCTTTTCTTTCATTTATTAATAAAAATTAATTTAACTGACGTTATTACACCTCTTTAATAAAAATTATTTGGAATTGTTTCGATTTTACTTTATTGTAAAAGGCTAGAGCCATAACCATAACAGGCGATACACCTGTGTTAATTAAATACCGGGTCACAACACTCATGCAGTTGCAGTTGCGTTGCCAACTTAAACAGAAGGCGGATACCGATTGCTTCATACAAGTTATGGTGCAGCATAAGTACACTTACATAATGATGTGGTGGCTGGTGGATTGGTGGTTGGTGGTGCGGCGGCTGCGGCTGATGGTGTGGGGGCTGGTGATGGGGCGCATGGTGAGGATGCTGCGCGTGGGGATGGGCCACTAGGTAATGTCGCAGCCCTTCGTCGAGTACCGGTGGCATCATCGCCGGCATCATGGTCGCTGTCGTTACCACCGGCATACCGCCTGTTCATAAAAGTCATAACATGACACGAAATCTTTTCACGGAAAGGAACATGTTCGTGATAATAAAATATATTTTAAGGAACCCACATTGTCAACAGCACTTTATGTTCGTGAATTATAAATAAAGCTTGCATTAAGTGATCCTTATCGCAACTTTTAATAGTCCTCTTGTCTTAAAAGCTTTTTGAAGCCTATGCAACATGTCATATAACCATAGATATATTATTCGAAAATGTATAGCCAAACTAAACAGATATCGATATCATTATTTGATTTATTAATTTTACCCACTAACATTTTTTTCTAGGCACATTTCAACCAAAATTGATGAATGTTATTTGACGATCAACTTTCTCCGATATTAACCCAATTTCCATCATATTGTACAAAAATTTTACGCTAAACGTATCGTTGCAGGAGTTAATAGAAAAAAACATCTAGGAAACCTTCAATAACATATGAGAAAAAGATTCATTCATAATTGAAATAATTTAAACAAAAACTTTAGTTCGTCAATTGATATGTAACGCTTCGCTTCCGCAATTAAAATACTAAAACAATCCAAAATGTAAATGCGCGTGTGAGATTTTAAAATGTTTAACACTTTTAAAATGTTTAACACATTTGAGCAAAAAAAAGTACCCTAAGGAAACAATATTTTAGAGACTAAAAACCGATTTGTTTAGCTTCAATTATTTTTTACAAATATTTCATTAGATTTGATATTAAAAGCTCTATTGCTTTTCGTGATTCAAAACTGTCACCATCATTATCATTCATATGGATTTTGTTAGATGCGACAAGGCGTTGCGGAGCCAGCCGTCATGGGTGGCTTGCGCGGCTCATTTTGCCGTCGGCGTCCGTTCCGCGCCGTAACTTCCATGTTATGAATGAACTCATTACGTCCTTTCGCGGAATCCATTTTTGGTAGTATTCCATATTCAAACATTTAAGAAGTTAAAAACATATCTACTGTTATGAACCTACTGTGGTAGGGCCACGCAACAGCCGTCTGGAGTAAAACCGACCTCACAGAAGAACGTCGTGAAGAGTTATACTTCTGCGTTTCGTTTGGTGAGTGTGGAAGTAGCCCACTTTATTACAAGGTGTGGCAATGCGTTTGAAAACCTACGGGAGTTGCAAATGTCTATGGGCGACGGCGGGGACTATAATTTAAGATCACGTGAACCACTACCTCGCTTTTTTTTTTTTTTTTTTTTTTTGATGCGAAAAGTTGTCAAACGAGCAGACGGTTTACCTGATGTTAAGTAAATACCGCCGCCCATGGACATCTGCCACACCCGAGGGTTACAGATGCGTTGACAACCTTTTGAAAATTGGGCTCCGGCTACCTCACTCACCAGACGAAACGCGAAAGTATTTGTCATACTGTCACTTTACGCTGGTCTTCTGTGAGGTCGTGGTACTTACCCGGACGGGCCTGCCCATTCGTGCAACAGCCGAGGCTGCTGCGTGGCCTTACCACCGTATAAATTGCCATTATATTACATTTAAAAACTTAACATAGTCTCTTTAACTAATTCTAAAGTTTCTTTTTTAGTTGGCGCTATACGTGAAAGCTTGATTAAAAATTGACATTTGTGTAAACTAAATCTTTCACAATTTAACGCGTTGTACTCAATTTACTTTTGAGAATTTATGTTTGCGTGTTCTTTATCTTACGTGAATGTTACTAAAGTTGCATAAGTAAAATTAATAATCGAGGATGAGTTTTAGAACGGCTCGATGCAGTCCGACAGCGATAACTTGAGCAACGAGCGAGGAATTCACGTCGACCCTGAAGCTCTTTGTTTCGACGGAGTAAAAGGGTTATTATTTCAATCACGCGTTTCTCAATTCTCCAGATGTTTACTTCTCAAGGCAATGCAAATTGCTATTTCAGACAAGAAGTTACATATTAGGTAGTAAATTAATTTGTCAAATAAAATGTGGAAGATTTTATAATTGATATTTTCAAAGTAGAAAAATGTGTATCTTGTTAAGAAACGATGGCAATCATTTTGTGTACTCGCTAATTAAACAATAACATTAGAATATTATATGTACACAATGGCAGACAACAAAAATATAAATGTAAAAGTGTATTATACATTATCGCAGTTATCTTATTAAACTTAATTAATACGCTAAGGTGGCATACTTGTTTGTTACTGGAGCCATTAATTATCATATTCTTGACGTTTATGGTTGTAAACTTAAATGTTTATGTGTAGTTATTTAGTTTTTTAACAGAGTGTTTATGAATAACGTCAGCCACGCGAAAAATTTGGTGGTGTTATCGAAAGTTATAAAATTATAGATTACGGTAGATTCACCTATTTTTGTGGTAATGAGATTTCCAATGTATACTTAGGTATTTATCACGATACCTGCTGGTTATTAACGAACGATATCCATGAAAACAATATAAAAAAAGTAAAGTAAAGTAACAGCCCACATGTCCCACTGCTGGGCAAAGGCCTCCTCTATACAGAGGGTATCAGGGCGTAGTCCACCACGCGGCCCCACTGCGGATTGGCGGACTTCACATATCTTCGAAATATATATTTTTTTGTTATTATTTCGAAAATATGCAGGTTTCCTCACGATGTTTTCCTTCACCGCGGAGCACGTGATAAGTCAGCACTTAAAGTTAAAAACTTAATTGGTGCCGGTGCTGGGGATAGAACTCAGGTTGCTCGAGTATATTGAATTAAAGGCGAGCGCCCGGACACAGCTATCACGGCTCATTAAAACAATATGTTTGAATGATATGAAATATTTTCAATATGTCCCATAGTTACATATGCGTGAGGGATGCAAAACTGATGTTTAGATTCTATAGAACTAAAGCCTATAGATAATCAGTACCTCAGTACCTAGGACTTCTATAGATATTTTTTTTTCTTTTTCTTAAATAAGAGACAATTGGACACGAAAAGGCCTTATGTGAAATTCAACCAAACATATCTACATTTGTTGCGTGAGTTGTTATCGCCACGTTTCATCAAAATTAACCGCGATTTCCTGGGCTTGCCTAAATCTAGACGTTGTGCAGACACTGCACATAGCTTCGCGGATCATCTGGCTTGTGTAATTTTCAATAGAGAAAATTGACTAACAAACATTCCTGCCGCAGTTTTTGTATTCTACATAACTAGTTTTTCAGTTTGTCAACCGTTTTAAGGGAATGTTCATAGGCGCTCCTAGCAGGTCCACGATAATAACGCTTCCGACTTTCCGGCGTATACCGCGTTCATTAATTATGTTTCTATTAATTATGTTCACTAATAAAATATCACTTATGACTCTGTGTAAGATATAATTAACGTGTGTTTTAAGGTTTAAGGTATAACTCACAAAATACTCACGTCGCCAACATCCAGATTCAGAACAATCAATTGTGTTTATACATACTTCTGGGGATAAAACTCGAGAGACGGCCCAAATCGTGTGGCAAACCACACACCGAAATCATGCACACTGCCCCAGAAGTCGGATAGGTGCAGTTGCTGGGGTTAGGGAATCGAACCCTTGACCCAAGCACTTTTTCCGGGGGGGCGCACCGTCCCCCCGCGTAATATGGCTTAATATCGGCTCGGACTATGATAATGAAGTAAGCTAATACGTCATCCTATAATATAAACTCGAGCGGCAGGCTGCACGCACCGTATTCAGTGTGCACGGTGCACATGTGCGCGTGCTGGGGATGCTGCTGCGGGTGGGGGCACATCTCCGGCGGCACGTAGTACTCGGGCGGGTAGTAGTCGCCGTAGTAGCCGTCGGGCACGCCGCCCCCGCCGCCCTCCGCCACGCCCACGCCGACCATGCTGGCACCTAGCGCATCGCACGCCAGCGCCCGCGCCGCATCCGTGCCGCGCGCGCACCCGCCCCACAACCCTCAGTCTGAAACAACGAATCGCCCCGTTATTAGGAGTAAAAAATTAAACTAATAGATTTTATAATTATCTCTCACAGCGCCACAGACAAGGCGTATTAGGACTAAAGAAGATTAAGGCATAGTCCGCCTGTGTTTTGGCATACTTCATACTCTCTTTTATATTCTATATTTAGTGATAGAGGCAAGCCATGGAAATTTGTAACACTCATAGGAATCCGTTCCCACCTTTTAATAAAGCGGGCTCCGGTTACCACACTCACCAGACACCTCGCTGAAATTTTAATTTCCACTTCATTCTGGTCTTCTGTGACCTCGTCAAGCGGTACTTTCCCGAACGGATCTGCCCATTCTAAAAGGCTATTGCGTGGTTATACAGCAGTCGAAATAAAAATAAATCTAACAAATACTCTTTTACGATGTTTCCTTCGTCCTTATCTTCGTTTTTGGTCGATGCTTTCGTTTTCAGTATTAAGATCTACATACTATTCCTCCGGGTTTGTTAAGGTCCTACAAAGTCAGAACCTACTATTTTAAAGGTTTCTGAACGAATGACACTAGACATTAATTCATTCGTTCCAGTCTCCCTAATCCTCGTTTGGCCCAAGGGTTTTATTTGGTTTTATTTCTATTTTATTTTACAGCCAGAAGGTAAAGTAATATCATAAAAAGCAAAAAGAAAACTAAAAGCATTGTCAACACCTATTATCTACCAAATATTCTATTAAAGCTTAATTAAATATTAACAAAGATATATTTTTATATAGAAAAAATAATTTGACATTTCCATGTAAAATATCCGACGCGAAATGTGAAAGTACTACAGGTGTAATTGCAGAAAGAAGTGGTGGACATCAAGTATGCGAGCGTTACAACGTTGAAGATGAATCTTTTGAATTGGGAGCGTTGCGTATTACACAAGCTTCTATGAAGAAGCAATCGAATAAGACCGCGTGAGCGCATCGTGACCGTATTTGCCTTTTAAATGGTGTTCTGCGACGGCGCCTCACGAACTGCGTCCCGCAATCGACGTCAGATTGTGGTATTGCCCAGGGGCTATCGTCGCCCTATGACATTTATAAAACATCTATCGTCACGCTAACGAAGCCAATTCGACGTTGCTGACATTCTATTTTTTTATTTTTCTAATAAAATTGCCCTTACTTTAGGACAACATTATCCTGTGTTGTAAGGACGTTTTACAAACTAAACATAAATTACACGCGGAAAGACACCCAGATGCGAAAAAACTATCTGTGGGTCATACAAATAGTTGTCCCGTGTAGGAATCGAACCCACGACCGCCGACGCCGAAGCCAATATCTTGGCAACTGCACCACGGAGTCATTATCTATTAAAGTAAAAGTCGCAAACCAAAAGCACATCTTAACTTTTCCATCTAGAGCACTGTTTACTAATTTTTAACGTGAATTTTAATTTTGCCTTTACGAATGTATGTAAGATTGTTCTAGAAATTAATAATTGTTTATTGTATATAATTCGTTCTTGAGAACACATACTGTAAGCATATTATTAACCTCGGTTATTTCAACTCCAGTACAACAGGCACGTTTTGCGTTTGCAAAATTGAAACTAAAACAATCTAAGTATTTCAATTTTGTATATTAAATCAAAAAAGAAGATTTTGGTTCCGAACCAGGGATTTACGTCATTCAACTTTTCGAATTAAAAAAACAAATGTTTGTGATAAAACTATACCGTTATTAACTACTGTATATATTAAGTTAGATCTAATGAGTTTTCGCGCAACCGTTCGGCGCTTAAGTATGTATAATGTATATATATATATAGGCATTTTAAAACATTTACAACAAACTTTTACAACAGATGCGTCTTTCAAAATTCATTACGCGTGTGTAAATTTGATTTTACTGGACTCAACTCAGATACTCGTCAATCAATTCAAAGATGGCGGCGCCGCGTCGCTGATTGAACGCAGTACATTCTCCAGTCGATGTCCGTTACATAATTTAATATCAGATGTACGATCAGCATAGAGCAGAAATAATTATTTGAAGTACGCAAATTAATTTAAAATTTATTTTCAGCAATGAAACATTCACAAAAATATTATATTCATTTACTATTGTAGATCGTATGATAAGGAAAGCTAAATCAATAACTGTCTATTGTAACAACTTAATGTTATTACTCTGACATTTTTCTGTATACGAAGACGATCCTTCCATTCACTGGATATTGATACCAGAAAAAATTAAATCTGCAATATTGAAATGTATGTACCAATTTAAGTAATGTTTATTATTTTCACTCTTGCCGCCACGCGCCGCCGCGTCGTGGCTAGAAATGACTAGTTTTTGGGGCGGGAATTTGATTACTGTTTCAAGAAAAATAAAGGATGAGAAGTAGCTTAATTTTAGTGATATTTTATACGATGAGATAAAAATATTTACATAGCTAACTCGATTAAAAGTAAGTTTTTAATCTTCTTATAAAAAATACATAATACATAAATTTTATAACAGACTTTGTGTATCTTTTTTAGAGCTATGGTTCACATAATGGATTACAAATCAATAGAAACTTATAGTTAATGAAAAAATGTTTTTTTATAAATGTGTTTATATTTTACCATGGTATGAATGAAATGAAATGTGACGTAGGTGTCCCTAAACGTATATCGATTCCGATGTGGAAGTTATCAACACACTTTATCGACGCTCGCAGTCGCAAGAATTTGCACGCGCCGAGCGTTGACAAGCAAAAAAGCGAATCCCTCGATACGCATAGCTTACGAGGATTTTCACTTCCTACACAAGGGACATTAAGTGTTCTTGAGACGACCATTCATCGCCCTCGATGGCGTTCAATTGAATAAATGCGGAGATGGCGCGGCGCTCGGCCGACGCCGACGTTGTTATGTAAATAGGGCCGTTGGCGAGACTCCTCGTCCACAACTCCACTCCACAAGGGCCGCGGCCGTTCACGTCGCGTTATCACAGGCCCATAATAGTACTAATAATGTACGCGAAGATTTCTGCGCACTTTATCAAAATACCTAGATTCGACGATATAGATAGTAAGGCACACATATTGCGTCAGTTTTAGCTTTTAGCGATAACGAGATAAGGACGGAAATATGAAAGTTATGATTTATAATAAGGAATGCGGTCGTTAATTTCATGGACACTATTTATTTTATTATTTATAGAGTCATCACCGCCGTCAATGGAACTTACCAACATCAACGGAATTGCTGATGCATTGCCGGCGTATCAGTAAACAATCAGCCATGTAGTAAGAATATGAAATGTATTTAAAACCTTGGTATCGATCTACTCGTATTCACAGAGTTAGTTTTACAGCTAGGAATGTTAGAGCTCTGTTGGTTTATCGGCTTGCTTGTTGTCATAATAAGGATTAACGATATCTTGTTTATAAATAATATAGTCTTATCAAGATACATATTTGTATAAATAAATGAGGCTTCTTAAGGTTGGCAGCATTGGTTTACGGCTTTTGCTTATTCTTTTATTGGCGGGCAAATTCCACTCAGACATAACAGAAGCGCTGTAGAATGAATTCCACGGATGTTAGTCATAGCCTTAGGCAGGTATATTTTATTTTGAGGATATTAATATACCTATATAAATTTTAAACTCCGCTATGTTATGGGTTACCGAGTCCAGATATAGCAACGGCCATTACTCAAACATAACGTTAAAATCGACCCCGATGGTGTTTAAAATTAACTCAAAAACTGTGTTTCTTAATATCATTTACTTCTTAATATACAATATGTCTCTAGCAGTCTATTACAGATTGTCTCAGTCGATCTTCGAATTTAGAAAGAAAAAATATTATATAAAACATTAAAGTGTCGAAGAAAAGATCATTGAATCTGTTATTTTATAATAGATATTGCACGATACATTTTTAATCCGTGTAATTTTCAAGTCATTATTAAGGCTCATATAATATTATAAGAACTATAATGTTAAAACTATAAAAATGTTTTCACAGTAACTTTGGCCGAATTTATCAAATATACCTTTATTGTTTTTCTATCGGCAAGTGGCTGATTGTGCGTAGGCACTAATCACTGACGCACGTAGACGCACACTAAAGCTTTTGCAAACAAAAATTGTGGAGGATAAAAATAAACTTATCCGAAGGGAACAAAATGTGCAATTAACTTTAAATCGTTAAACACAAAAAGTTATTTTAAAATCCTCTTCCCCAAAGTTCTCTTAATAAGTTTTACAATTAAATAAAATGGGTGCGTGTACGTCCGTGAGAAGTTAAACTTCTTTGGTTTTATTAAAAATATTTTTAATTGCATGCAAATAATTATATACAATAAAATAATAAGGACTGGAAAGGATATAAAAAATAAAAATAACTAAATTATGAAAGCGCCATCTACATTCTTTATTGAGAACTGTAACGGGCGAATGTGATTAAGAATATGCTGCCAACATTCAAAGGTGTTACTTTTGTGTTACAGTTATGCGTCCTTAATATTTGACTGTCATATTTTTTTCATAATGCGCCTAAAAAAGTATAACTTAAATAATATAGTTTGTACAAAAACTTAAAACAAAAAAATCATTCTGTAACTGCAATAGAAAGCATGTTTTTGTACGAAATGTTTCCTTTATTTTTTAAATCTGTTAAACTTTTTTCAATATTACATTTCATTATTACACTTATTTTACATTCACTTTGGATATATATGTTTCTTTTTAAAGTATATCACAAAGGTCATGATTAAACATTGTCATTAAGAGCTTATTAAGATCGAACCGCTTCGGGATTCCCAAACGTCGAGACGTGCGAAAGGAAGTTATCTCCACGCCGCTCTCGAGACGTTCCGAGAATTCATTTGCATAGCTAATGCGGGTGCGAGAACTGACCCGTCGCGTCTACGCAGACACTGGTGAATAGCA